TCTTCTCTGCTACTGGAGATTATATAAACAAACTAAGTGCATGATTATGATAGACAAGGATGCCTCTTTCAAAATTTTTAAATATATGGCCTCAGTTTTTGGGGTTCTTGAGGGGGGGGGCTCTATTGATTATATAGTGAAAAAGCATTAATTCTATTAATCATTAATTAATCCTGTCTGCTCCTTAGTGTTGAGCTGATAAAGAAATTGCTTAGCTATGTTGAAAATGGGAGCTTCGAACAGAATTTCTAAATCTTGTGGTCCTAGGGTCAGGGGTTCTGGCATAACGAGGGGGGGGGGGGGGCTTTTGATAATATAGTGGAAAAGTGTTAATTCTTTGAAGTCCATAGTTATGATGATGAGGGTAACTCTTCCAAATTTGTAAATTTCTTGACCCTTGGTCTTGGGTTCTGGTGTTAGGGTAAGGCTTTGTTGAATCTGTAGTGAAAATGCATTGTACCTGTGAAATTCTTCTCTGCTTCCGGGCATATTGAAAGCAAACTGAGTAAAAGTTTAAATGATATAAGTAAGCGTATTTCTACCAGATTTTTAAACATCTGGACCATTGGTCTAAGCATTCTGATCCTGAGCAGGGCTCTATTAATTTGTATTCTACTGAGAGAAGTTATTCCCCTTTTCCATTCACCTTTGATAATTAATCACTGTAAATAATGTATTTGAAAGGTTAATAGAATAAGATAATTATGCAAGAATGTTTATTGTATAATTAAAAAAGTACTTTCTTAGTTTTAATAAACAGGTAGACCTGTAAGTCATAGATAAATAAAAATGAGACAAAAATAACTTATCTTATTAAAAGTTCTTCAAAGACCATAAGAGAGGTCAATGCTAGAGGTCTTAATATGGGTTTATAAATAGTACAGAAGCACTAATAGTTTGTTAATAGTCTGCATAGTGTTAAGTGGGGGACAAATTAGAACTTAATTTATGAGTTGATACTGAATACTAGACTAATTATTTTGTTGATCCTGATCTTCCTACTTCTCTTGCTTATGGCAACAAAGCTTCAACTATCAGTGTATTTAACTTCTAAATTGTTGTATTATACTCAGGTGACCGTTAAGGCCCTTGGGCCTCTTGTTAAAAATAAAATTATGCAGTTTCAAATAGTTAGTAACCATGATTGAAATAATTTGTAACTTAGGAAATCTCTTTGTTTTGATTTTTTAACTCACCTGAGTCAAAGACTCAAGAGAACTTTTCTGATCAAAATTTGTGCGTTGTCTGTCACCATTGTTGTCTTCAATGACATAAATATTTTCAGAAACTTTTTAGTTCACCTGAACCAAAGGCTCAAGTGAGCTTTTCTGATCAATATTTGTTCGTTGTCTGTTGTTGTTGTCATCGTCGTTAACTTTTCACAATTTCATCTTCTTCTCCAGAACCACTGGGCCAATTTCAACCAAACTTGGCACAGAGTATCCATGGGTGAAGGGAATTCAAATTTGTTCAAACGAAGGGCCACACCCTCTTCCAAGGGAAGATAATTACAAAATAGTGAAAAATTAATGGCATATGCATCTTTTAAAAATCTTCTTCTCAAGAACCAATGGGTCAGGAAAGATGAAACTCATGTGGGATCATCGCCAGGTAATGTAGATTCAAATTTGTTCAAATCATGACCCCCGGGGGTAGAGTGGGGCCACAATGAACGATCAAAGTTTTACTTACTTAATAGGAATATATAGGAAAAATCTTTAAATATCTTCTCAAAAACAGCAAAGCCCTGATTGGTCATATTTATATGGAAGCATTCTCAGGTAGTGTAGTTTCGAGTTTGTTCAAATCATGACACCCCCCCCCCCCCCCAGGGTAGGGTGGGGCCACAATGGATGATCAAGGTTTTACATAGGAATATATAGGAAAACTCTTTAAAAATCTTCTTCTCAAGAACAGCAAAGCTGTGATTGGTCATATTTGTATGGAAGCATTCTCAAGTTGTGTAGATTCAAGTTTGTTCAAACCATGACCCCTGGGGGTAGGGTGGGGCCACAATGGATGATCAACTTTTTACATAGGAGTATATACTAGGAAAACTCTTTAAAAATCTTCTTCTCAAGAACAGCAAATCTGTCATTGGTCATATCTATATGGAAGCAACCTCAGGTGGTGTAGATTCAAGTTTGTTCAAATCATGTCCCTGGGGGTAGGGTGGGGCCTCAATGGATGATCAAAGTTTAACATAGGAGTATATAGAAAAAATCTTTAAAAATCTTCTTCTCAAGAATGGCAAAGCCATGATTGGTCATATTTATATGGAAGCATCTTTAGGTAGTGTAGTTCCAAGTTTGTCAAATCATGACCCCCAGGGGTAGGGTGGGGCCACAATGAAAGTTCAAACTTGTAGGAAAAATAGCCACAGTTAGTCAAAGAAATATGTACGTATCCTTAGTTAGTGTAGATTCAATTTTTTTCAGATCATGACCCCCCTGTTTTAGGGGTAGGTCGGGACCACTTATGCATTTAAGCTTTTCAATACTGAGCTGATTTTTGCTTTTTTTCCAAGCCACAGTGCTCAGGTGAGCGATGTGGCCCATGGGCTTCTTGTTACAATTTCGTCTTCTTCTCTAAAATCATGGGCCAATTTCAACCAAAATTGACACATAGTATCCTTGGATAAAAGAGATTATTTTTATTCAAATGAAGGGCCACATCCTCTTTCAGGGGAGATAATTAAGGATTGGTATAAATGGCATCTTTTAAAAATCTTCTTTTGAAGAACCACTGGGTCAGAAAAGATGAGACTTACGTGTAAGCTTCCTGAAAAAGTTTAGGTTCAGGTTTGTTTAAGTCATGACCCCTGGGGGCAGGGTGGGGCCACATTAGGTGGTCAATGATTTACATTGATATATAGGCAAAAATCGTGAAAAATCTTCTTCTCAAGAATAGCAAAGCCATGATTAGTTATATTAATGTGGAAGCATTCTTAGATAGTGTAGATTTAGGTTTGTTCAAATCATGACCCCCAGATGGTCCACAAGATGAAATTAAAGTTTTTCATAGGAATATATAGGAAAAATTTTCCTCTAATAAATAATAAAAGCAATTATTACTCATCTCTATATGGAAGTATCCTCAGATAGTTTAGATTCAAATTTGTTTAGATCAGGTCCCCAGGGAATTGGTGGAGCCTACAGTAGGGGATCAGAGTTTTATTATTACAAGGGAGTATATAGGAAGGTATCTTTCTAGAGTGGCAAGGCCACACTAAATCATATTAATAAGCAAAACATTCCTAAGTTGTGTAGTTTCAGGTTTTCTTTTTTAAATTATGAACCCTGGGGTTAGATTTGGGCTAAAATCAGAGATCCAAATTCTCTATAGGGGAAAAAGTCTTTCATAGAACAGCAGGGCCATTTTAGTCATATGATGCATCCCAATTTTGTGTGGATTCAACTTTGATTAAATCATAGCTCCTTAGGGCTGGATTTTAGTTTGCAGTATGGGTTCAAAATTTTTTATCAAATTAAAGAAGGGAATTTAGAAACAAATCTGAAAATGAAGAATAGCAGGGCCATATCAACACAGATCAGCATTGTGACACCTGAGCATCTGCAGCTGGTGTTATGTTAACTACCATTTGTATTTTTTTGCTTAATGCAAGAGATGATTTCCCCATGCTTATAGCCATAGATCAACTACATGTACTTTCAATTTGAATGCATGTAGTTGGCATTTAATTCAGATAAAACTGTGATATATGCAAAATTCTTTCAAATCCTTGCTGTATAGTCATTTCAAAGACTGTTTCCAGTGACTCATAAATGCAAGAATCTTTTAAGGTTTTGCTGTGAAAAACTGTTTATGGTAAACATATTTTTTGTAATGAATTTTCCCCCTCCCTATTTATTCAATACATGAATTAAATAAAGCCAAATAGCAAATTCATAAGATTAATTCAATTCAATTCACTTTATTGACAATTACCTTGTCGGCATACAGTCATGACATAAAATGAATTAACAAGAATAATACATACATATACAAAATGACAAATGTGAGTTGAACAAAATAATGTAGAGTATATTCACATATTTCTAAGTAATCATTGCTGACTTTCTTTTCTGGTGTCAAAGCACTTTTTCAAAAAACAACATATCCTTCTAGCAGTTGTAATATTTGTAGGATTGACAATTTTTCTAATGGGATTATCACTAGTAGATGTGTTTACATTAAATATATCAGTATAATTGCATCTAAATTGGTCATACTTTGAACAGTATAGAACAAAATGTTTTTCATCTTCAATAAATAATTTACATGAATAGCATAAACGTTTTTCTCTAGGAATAGGGGGTTTACAGTATCTGCCCGTTTCAATATACAATGGATGGGCACTGATCCTTAATTTTGTTAATACAGATCTAAAACTTTTCTTTAAAGGCAGCTTTAAATAACTTTGCAATTTGTATTCATTTTGAATTACAATTTTACTATAAAAAGCTAACTTTCCAGAGTTTGATTTGCTTATATTTTTCAGTTGTTCATGTATCTTGTTTTGGTAATGCTCTTGTAATTTGTTTTTCAAGGTTGTGTGAGAAATATCCAAAGAAGTGATATTTAATTTTTGTAGTAATGAAGACAGTTTTCTTTGCCAAGATATTCTAGATACAAGTTTTTTGTCTTCTTTAAATGCAGAAATCACTAAATAATTATTATAATCATGTTTGTTTTCCATTTCCTTAAGTCTCTTAAAATATTTAAACATATATTCATAACATAAATAGTACAAAGGAAAACGACCCAATTCACATAAAACATATGATTAAAATAATTAAATATCATTGCAGCTATAAAGTCAAACATATGGGTGCACTATCATTTTCTTTGAAGATGAACATGTATTGTAGGATTTATATTTAGGGCTAGAATTTCACCACCCAGATGTAATTTCAAGGATATATTCTAGGTTTGAAAGTAATCTTATTATACCAGCTCTTCCTCTGTTTAAATGTCTAGAATCTTTTTTATCACATCAGGGTATAAGCCATTCAAGGTGACCCATGCCTCAGACAATTTTGACAAGCTTTATGAGTATGCTGTAGAGCTGATAAAGCGGGGGGATGCCTACGTTTGTCACATGCGGTCGGAGGACCTGAAGGGGTTTGACACTCCTGACTCCCCGTGGAGAGACCGGCCGATCGAGGAGTCTCTACAGCTGTTTGAAGTAGGTCACTTATATCATTGAGGTTAGAGAAATACATAGGTCACTTATATCACTGAGGTTAGAGAAACGCATAGGTCACTTCACTTATATCATTGAGGTTAGAGAAATACATAGGTCACTCACATTATTGAGGTTAGAGAAATACATACGTCACTTCACTTATATCATTGAGGTTAGAGAAATACACAGGTCACTTTACTTAATACTACTAAGTAATATATCATTGAGGTTAGGTTACACAGGTCACTTTAATTATATCATCCAGGATGGGAAACTAGATGGAATTTATCTTGAACACTGTGGATTAGTTAAGTGGATTTATGCTATCCTGTGAAATGGCTATGTACATATATGAAAGTTTGAATAGGTTTCATGCACTGGGATTTAATGATAAACAATTAAACATGCGTACAGGTTTGTTGTCTATTTATATAATTATATGTGTTACCTGAGTACAAGTTTGTTATGTATTTATATATGCTCTTTCTTTTTTTACTACAGGATATGAAGAATGGTAAGATTGGAGAAGGGGAGGCCACTCTGAGGATGAAAACAACACTAGAGGAAGGGAAGAAGGACCCAGTAGCTTATAGAATCAAATTTACTCCCCACCACCGCACAGGGGATAAGTGGTAAGAAAAAGGGGGGTGTCAGAATCAAATTTACACCCTACCACCACTCAGGGGATAAGTGGTGAGAAGTGGGGGGGGGAATCAAATTTACTCCCCACCACCACACAGGGGAGAAGTGGGGGGGGGCAGAATTAAATTTACTCTCCACCACCACACAGGGGATAAGTGGTTAGAAAAAGGAGGGTTACAGAATCAAATTTGCTCACCACCTCTGCACAGGGGATAAGTTGTAAAGAAAGGGGTGAAAATAAATAAGCTTGTTTCCCTCAAATGCACAGGGAACAAGTGGTGAAAAAGGGGAGGAAGATATAGGGCAATTTGATGAAGAGATAGGAGAGTGAGGTATAGGACAAGAGATAGAAATAATTACTTTTTTAAAAAATAAATGTCATTAATTTCTGAATGTGTTTAACACTAACAATAGTCTTAGGTTTACAGAGCACAAAATAATATTTTTGAGTTAGATTTTATCACGTTTTTGAAATACATGTATGTATGATTTCTGAATTACACATATTCTTATTGGGTGTTTATTTTAATCTACAGGTGTATATACCCGACCTATGATTACACACATTGTTTGTGTGATTCCATAGAGAACATCACCCACTCTCTTTGTACAAAAGAGTTCCAATCAAGGTACGTAATGCTTTGTTCATTGGAGATGAAAAGATAAATATGCTTGTTGTGATTTCATCATTTTTTAGGGGATGGGGTTGGGATATTGTGAGTACTGTATAGTCAGGTCACAGGGTTCGACATTAACGTTAGTCCGTTAATCTCGGACTGATACATTTTCATTCAGACTTATAAAATCTGTGGCCTATTAGTCCGAAGGGACTAATAAAAATTTCTGGAAAAAATCAATAAATTATCAATGTTTGATTCTCGACAACTTTCACTGGAAAACCCTGCATGTATTTTTAGCTTTCTAACTTCTTGGCGGGAAGTTAAGTAATTCCAAGTCAATTCGACGCTCAATTTTAGGACTGATTGGTATGAAATTAAACATTTTAGTGATCATGAATTAGTATGACACATGGAGAAAGATGTCAGATGTTTGGATGTAATGTATAGAGAAAAACAAACGAGTTCGGGTATATGATTGTAGTTCCTGATTGCAAGATTTCAACGAATCTTGGAATAAAACATTTCACGTAAATGCTTTGTTTATTTCAAAAAAGTATAAAAAGTACATTGCAATGTTTATTTTTGAATTAACCATTACAAAACATTGATGTGTTTTTTTTTTTGAACGGACTCGTAAAATCTCGTGTGTACTAGTAAAAGTAAAGAAGCACTAGTTCGGCTGGACTAAAAGCCTAAAAATGTAAGTGTCGAACCCTGGGTTATCTTTGCTGTGGCTTTGTTTTTTATTTCAATGATAGACTCTATAAGTTGTGGGCAACTAGAAAAATCCATAGATCCTTTCAAGTTTATCAAGTTTTAATATTTTTTTTCCATGTAATGAAATCTTTAATCTACCCCTAACTGCTCAATGCATAAAGGGAGTCTGAAAAAAAACGTATTCTTTTAAAAAGCTGTATTAGGACTGCTTTCTAATAAAGAAGTTCCCTGAGTAAATTTGCAAGGAAAGCAGATGATTGATATAATTTCCTCTGCAGACGATCGTCGTATCACTATCTGTGTAATGCTATAGATGATTGATATAATTTCCTCTGCAGACGATCGTCATATTACTGGCTGTGTAATGCTATAGATGATTGATATAATTTCCTCTGTAGACGATCGTCGTATTACTGGCTGTGTAATGCTATAGATGATTGATATAATTTCCTCTGCAGGCGATCGTCGTATCACTATCTGTGTAATGCTATAGATGTTTGATATAATTTCCTCTGTAGACGATCGTCGTATTACTGGCTGTGTAATGCTATAGATGTTTGATATAATTTCCTCTGCAGGCGATCGTCGTATCACTATCTGTGTAATGCTATAGATGATTGATATAATTTCCTCTGCAGGCGATCGTCGTATTACTGGCTGTGTAATGCTATTGATGTTTGATATAATTTCCTCTGCAGGCGATCGTCGTATTACTGGCTGTGTAATGCTATAGATGATTGATATAATTTCCTCTGCAGACGATCATCGTATTACTGGCTGTGTAATGCTATAGATGTTTGATATAATTTCCTCTGCAGGCGATCGTCGTATCACTATCTGTGTAATGCTATAGATGATTGATATAATTTCCTCTGCAGGCGATCGTCGTATTACTGGCTGTGTAATGCTATAGATGTTTGATATAATTTCCTCTGCAGGCGATCGTCGTATTACTGGCTGTGTAATGCTATAGATGATTGATATAATTTCCTCTGCAGACGATCATCGTATTACTGTCTGTGTAATGCTATAGATGTTTGATATAATTTCCTCTGCAGGCGATCGTCGTATTACTGGCTGTGTAATGCTCTAAATGATTGATATAATTTCCTCTGCAGGCGATCGTCGTATTACTGGCTGTGTAATGCTATAGATGTTTGATATAATTTCCTCTGCAGGCGATCGTCGTATTACTGGCTGTGTAATGCTCTAAATGATTGATATAATTTCCTCTGCAGACGATCGTCGTATTACTGGCTGTGTAATGCTATAGATGATTGATATAATTTCCTCTGCAGACGATCGTCGTATTACTGGCTGTGTAATGCTATAGATGATTGATATAATTTCCTCTGTAGACGATCGTCGTATTACTGGCTGTGTAATGCTATAGATGATTGGTATAATTTCCTCTGTAGACGATCGTCGTATCACTGGCTGTGTAATGCTATAGATGATTGATATAATTTCCTCTGCAGACGATCGTCGTATTACTGGCTGTGTAATGCTATAGATGTTTGATATAATTTCCTCTGTAGACGATCGTCGTATTACTGGCTGTGTAATGCTATAGATGATTGATATAATTTCCTCTGCAGGCGATCGTCGTATCACTATCTGTGTAATGCTATAGATGATTGATATAATTTCCTCTGCAGACGATCGTCGTATTACTGACTGTGTACGCAGCTATGTTAAGGTTTCCCGAAGCTTTAAAATGCGCTCAAAACATAATATGTCATTGCGAGGTCGGTTTTGGTTTTAATTTATAAGTATTGAACATTAGTACTTTCAATTTATATAAAGGGTTTTCTCGGCTATATATTAGCATATTTGTTATGATATCACATGACTTTGTTGATCATGTGACGGTCATTTATAATTTTTGAAGTGTTACATATAAATCGCTTCGGCGCAGCTGATTAACACAATAATTATTATCATTTTGAAATATAAATAAACTCATCGTATCCTTGTGCATCCGAAATGTGCTTGGGAAAAGTCATAGTATTACATGGGTACAAAATATTTCCTGAGAAATTCAACTTACCTACAAATTTGAGGGTATTTTCCACACAATATCGTAATCTGTATTAAAACAAAGCCAACACACATTTTTCCCAAGCAAGATTCAGTTAGAGAACAACCTTTTCTTACAGATTTCCACAAAAATTCTCAGATTAATCCTCATTAATCACCTGCGCCAGACTCTTTTACACACACAAAATAAATTCTACCTCCAACCACGGGTATAAAACAGAGTACATTTCAAAAGTATATTTTTCATAAGCATTTTGAAAATGATGAATTTCAATCAAGGGTAGGTAAGCGGTGTATTTTTAAAATATTCGGACATATAAGACTTAAAAAACCTTTAAAGACCCGTGAATTTTGCAATAGCTGTCTAGCATTTTACATGCAGTTTGAAATAAAGTGTAAAGTTCATGACACTCTCCCCGTAATAACACCTCAGGTTTGCAGTGACCTGACGTCATTTTCCATTATGACGTCATATTTTGGTAGTTCAGAGATGTGAAGGCACAGAGTGCACTGTCATATTCTACGGAGAAATCATCGTATCACTGTCTGTGTAATGCTATAGATGTTTGATATAATTTCCTCTGCAGACGATCGTCATATTACTGGCTGTGTAATGCTATAGATGTTTGATATAATTTCCTCTGCAGGCGATCGTCGTATCACTGGCTGTGTAATGCTATAGATGTTTGATACAATTTCCTCTGCAGGCGATCGTCGTATCACTGGCTGTGTAATGCTATAGATGTTTGATATAATTTCCTCTGCAGACGATCGTCGTATTACTGGCTGTGTAATGCTATAGATGATTGATATAATTTCCTCTGCAGGCGATCGTCGTATTACTGGCTGTGTAATGCTATAGATGATTGATATAATTTCCTCTGCAGATGATCGTCGTATCACTGGCTGTGTAATGCTATAGATGATTGATATAATTTCCTCTGCAGGCGATCGTCGTATTACTGGCTGTGTAATGCTATAGATGATTGATATAATTTCCTCTGCAGGCGATCGTGGTATTACTGGCTGTGTAATGCTATAGATGATTGATATAATTTCCTCTGCAGACGATCGTCATATTACTGGCTGTGTAATGCTATAGATGTTTGATATAATTTCCTTTGTAGACGATCGTCATATTACTGGCTGTGTAATGCTATAGATGATTGATATAATTTCCTCTGCAGGCGATCGTCCTATTACTGGCTGTGTAATGCTATAGATGTTTGATATAATTTCCTCTGCAGGTGATCGTCGTATTACTGGCTGTGTAATGCTATAGATGATTGATATAATTTCCTCTGTAGACGATCGTCGTATTACTGGCTGTGTAATGCTATAGATGATTGATATAATTTCCTCTGCAGGTGATCGTCGTATTACTGGCTGTGTAATGCTATAGATGATTGATATAATTTCCTCTGCAGGTGATCGTCGTATTACTGGCTGTGTAATGCTATAGATGATTGATATAATTTCCTCTGCAGACGATCGTCGTATTACTGGCTGTGTAATGCTATAGATGTTTGATATAATTTCCTCTGTAGACGATCGTCGTATTACTGGCTGTGTAATGCTATAGATGTTTGATATAATTTCCTCTGCAGACGATCGTCATATTACTGGCTGTGTAATGCTATAGATGTCTACTGCCCTGTACAGTGGGAGTATGGCCGCCTGAATCTCAACTATGCTGTTGTCTCCAAGAGAAAGATCGCTAAACTTATCACGGAAGGTTACGTCAGGTTTGTAAGTTATTGGAATACAAAAGTATGAAAGGACATATCTTAGTACTATTTGTGTCAGAACTTATTGATGTAGGAATATTTTAGGATACAATTAAGTGTTAGGATTTTGTCAGACTTTGATGGAGAGAAGTATTTGTTGGATAATCTTCATGATATATATATATATATATTTGATGATATACAGGGACTGGGATGATCCCCGTCTGTTCACGCTGACTGCCCTGAGAAGAAGAGGATTCCCTCCAGAGGCCATCAACCTCTTCTGTGCAAAGGTTACCCATACTGCAGATTTCTTCTGTTTAATATCCATTGGCCCTTTTCACTAAAAACCTTATGACTTTGGCAATTTTGCATCCTCAGCAAGTATCTAAACTGTAGTAGGACACAAAAAAACGTATTTCTATTAACTTAGATTACATTGTAAAAAATATTAAGAAAAAAGTAAATATATTTATTAAACAAAAAATTACAGTTGTTAAATGTTTAGGTCACCTGGGTCAGAGGCTCAGATGAGGTTTTCTGATCGAAATGTGTCCATCATTTGTCTGTCATATGTTGTCTGTCTGTCTGTAAACTTTTCACTTTTTTAACTTTTTCTCAAGAACCACTGGGCCAATTTCATCCAAACTTGCCACAAAGCTTCCTTGGGTGAAGGGGATTCAAGTTTGTTGAAATGAAGGGCCACCCCCCCCCCCCCCCTTTCAGTGGGAGATAATACAGAATTAGTGAAAAATTAATGGCAATCTTTTAAAAAATCTTTTTCTCAAGAAGCACAGCTTGAGAAAAAGATTTTTTAAAAGATGTCATTAATTTTTCAAAAAAGGTGAACTTAAGTGAAAGCTTCATTACATAGTGAAGATTCAAATTTGTTCAAATCATAACCCCCGGGGGTAGAGTGGGGCCACAACAGGGGATCAAAGTTAGAAATATATAGGAATACCTTGAAAAACCTTCTCAAGAACTGCAAAGCTATGATCAGTCACATCAGTACAGAAGCATCCTCGGGTAGTGTTTATTCAGGTTTGTTCAAATCATGACTCCCAAGGGTAGGATGGGGCAGCAACAGAGGATCAAAGTTATACATAGGAATACATGTATATAGGAAATATCTTTAACAAGAATAGATATGGGTTACCACATATCCAAGAAATTCGACTTTTAATTTATTCGAATTTTCATTGTGCTCAGATGATTTCTAATTTAAAAAAAAAACTATTTACTGATAAAACGCCAGAAATACTCAAGCTGTAGAAAGTCAACTATACAATGGCCATAAATAACCTAAAATGACATAATATTTAGGCTACTGAGTTTCAACATCTTTTGTTGAATAAAATATGCATGTACTAAGGAAACTGCATGTACATACATGTATATAACGTTACATGCGATTAGTGACTTTTATTATCACAACGTTGCAGATGCCTATAGAAATAGTTTTAATTTCACATAGAACATAGACTAAATATAATTAACCGTATAATTTTAAAGATGTATTTAACAGCTCACTCATTTACAGGAATATTTAATCCAAATAGCATGTTAAAGGCCTGTAGCAACGTTTTCAAAGTGAAGGGGGGGGGGGCTCCGAAAAAATCCCGCGTACTATGGGCCTTTGCTACATGTGTACCATCTAACTTTCCAGTGTTAGAATCTTCTGTAAAAATTCGAAACAAGTCCAAGCAAAGATCAAAGATAGCCCAATTTTTTAAATAGCAAAACTATAGATCTATCAAGGATAGATTTTAATTTATTTTTTAATTTTGTGCTATTAAAGTACTATCACTCAAAGTATAGGCAGATGTTAAAGATGGGTCAACAAGAGTAATCAATGAACTCGTCTAGAGATGCATTGACGGCCGTTGTTAAACGCAAAGGAAAGCGTGAGATCGGTTGCAGCTGTGGAGCATCACTCCTTCGTCATAGAATAAAATCCGACATTTAACACTTTATATAGATTTTGAATATAGAGACGTTTTGAAGATAAACTTCATTTTTGTTTCTAGAAATGTTTTTATTTACAAATATAGTATATTTTCGTGTTTTTAAACTGAGTAGATCAATAACCTAGCATCGTTTTAGGTAACTCAGCCCCTCTAGCCCAGTCTAGGGCTTGAGTAAAAAACCTGCACTTGTTATGAAACTGGTGTATAGTTCTTCTTCATGTCCGTAGCAAATACTGATACCCAGTCTACATGATCTAAGCGTCACTAGTGAACGGTGCACATACCTGTGCTTGCAAGACCAAATAGACTAGGTTTACACACGTGCGAAGATCCTTTCAGACGAGCTCGGCAAATCACGTTGCATTGCCGAGAAGTTACGAATGCAGGTGTTTAACCACATAATAACCATTCCGTTATTTAAAAAAAGAGAAAAACACACACACACACACACACAGTTAATGATTAATATTCTCACTCAAAAGAAAATATACAGCAATTAACGAACAATAATCATGACAGTTATATAATTGGTGAAAAGATTTATCACTATCAATCAAAGGATGACCTATATATTTTCGTGAAAAAGACTGAGGAGGCAGCAAGCGTAGGAATATGAAAACTTTTTATTTCCTTTTCTGGGGAAAAGTGATTTTCTTAAAATCTTTTTATGTTAATTTTGTTTTCTTTAACGTATTGAATACACATCATTATTCTTAACATTTGTTGTAATGTTGTGTCTACTGATCATGAATGGAACTATTTTCTTCGGAGCAATTGTGTGAAGAGTACCTGACTTTAGTAATATATCTTGAATAGATAATATGCACTGATCGAATATATTAAAAATCTTCTTCTCAAGAACAGAAAAGTTATTACTAGTCATATTAGTACAGAATCATCCTTAGTAAGTGTAGATTCTAATTTGTTCAAATCATGACCCCCCAGGGTAGGGTGGGAACTCAACAGGGGATCAAACTTTTACATAGTAACATAGAGGAAAGAAATCTTCTAAAGCCATTATTATTCAGAGAAAGGAGAGGAAGCATCCTCAGTAAGTGTAGATTCAAGGTTGTTCAAACCATGACCCCCAAGGGGTGGGGGTGGGGTGGGGGTTGGGGGTTAGGACCACTTATATTTTGAATCTTTTCAATAATGAACTGATATCTGCTTTTCTTAAGCCAAATTGCTCAGGTGAACGTTGTGGCCCATGGACCTCTAGTTAGATGTAAGATGTTTTGTGAAAATGGCAACAGCACTAGTGGTTTGTATGGAGACAACAAAGGAATGTTCTGTGTCATGTTAATTTTGTGCTAATTTACTGCAGAATTTAAAAATAGAATTTTTTTAAACAAGGTTCTGTATGATCAAATATGCATTCTAAGATTATTATTCTCTATGTAATGCTGGTCTTGTCTGGTTTACTGTGTTACAGGTGGGTGTGACCATGGCGCAGACAGTGATAGACCCCTCCATGTTGGAATCTTGTGTTAGAGATGTACTCAATGTCACCGCACCAAGGTCAGTTAATGTTACAGCCATCGATGATCATCATTGATCACTAAGCATGTCACATTATATCAGATCTATGATTTTTGCTTTTTTAAGAAAGTTTTTTTCATAATTTTGTTGTACATCATGACTTTCTCCAAAATATTTCTTTACCATACACATTTTACTTTCTGCTGAAGTCTTACTTGATTTTGGTATTAACTGTTTGAGCAATGAAATCTCTGTCTTAAAAAGCTTAGGTTTTCTTTCTTTTTTTTTTTTTAGATGTTTCAGACTGGTTTATGTTTCTTTAAGAAGTCTTATATTCTAATTTTTTACTAGTTGTTTTGTATGTATTTACAGAGCAATGGCCGTCCTGGACCCTCTGAAAGTAACCATCACAAATTTTCCACCAGACCAACCCACCTCACTGACTGTACCTAACTTCCCAGCTGACGAGAAGAGAGGCTGTCACACGATCAGCTTCAAACCTGTGATTTACATCGAAAAGACAGATTTCAGAGAGGTATAACATATAAAGAATGAACTACAGTTTAATTCAGTGAAACAGACTTGTTAGGAAATAATATTTATATTATCATTAGTTGTGTACTCTCATGCACTGGACAGAATACAGAGTAGTGAATTGACTAACTATTCATTAATTGAGTTATAAGAGAACATCATTATATATTGCAAGAAAAGAAGTTAAAGCAAATATAGATTATTATTTGCAGTGGCATGTGCCTTTCTGTTTTAGTTTGAAAAGGTGGTTATGAAAAGGAAGCCCAGGTGTGCTGGGTCTTCTGAAAATAATCTCACATGGCTGCTGAGTTCACAGCTGATGATTTTTCTTTACAGAGTGCTGACAAGAATTACAAGAGATTTGCCGAGAATCAACCAGTCGGTCTACGACATGCGGGCTACGTCCTCACAGTAGAAAAAGTTGTTAAGGTAACCAGAGTTGATGCTCTGATAATGGGTATCATAAAAATTCCCTGTTTATGCCGTTATAATTGCTGAATTAGATATGTGATAATCATGTTCTACATATTCAGTTATTTTCATGGGTTCACATTTTCTTGGATTGAGGAAAAAAAGTAGGTCTGATTGGTTTTGATTTTGTGGTTGAAGAAATGTAGGGTATAGTGATTTGAAATTAAATTTTTTGTGGTGGACTTGAAACTAGGTCTTTTCATACTATGGAAACAATGAAAATTAATCTCCTGACCAACAAAAAATTAGCATTTTCAGGGTATTCTTAATGTTCTAAGGAAAAGCAAAATTTTCTGTTGATGAGGAAAAACTTTATACATGAGGAGGTTTGGTTTATTTTTGCTTTTAGGATAACAGTGGAAATGTTATAGAAGTCATTGCATCCTGTAAGAAGACAAGTGAAACAGAGAAACCCAAGGGGTTCATTCACTGGGTGTCAGATCCACAGGTCTGCGAAGTCAGACTCTACGAAAAATTGTAAGTATGATTAATGGGTACCTTTATATGCTAGTTAAGCTATTCTGCTTCCCCCCTAAATTTGTATGCATTTTTTAATTATATCTAAAGGAAATTAATGTAAATTGATGGTAAAATTTTATATCCTATACCAACCATGAAGTATGGAGGGTGTTGTAGTATGCCCCTATATTTGTGCCTTTTGCTCACATTATCTTGAGCTTCTAAATGGATTTAGCCATACTTCGTTCTCTTGAAATGTTTATTTGAACTTTGGTATCCCCCCATACATGTTGTCTCAAATATCAAACTGATTTGAATGTCAGAACTTCTGTTTTCTTTCTGTATTTTCACTCAATATCTTTAACCTTCGGATATCTTGAAGTTTTTCCTCTGTTCTTTTGAGTTCAAGATAATGAGATTTGACTGTTCCTGAATTAAATCATTGATCTTTAAAACAGCTATTTTGAATCAGATAAGAGGTTAACATATCAAAGTTTTCTCTAATAACATTATGTTATTACAGAAAACTTTGATATGTTAACCTCTTATCTTCTTCAAACAAATGAAGCTGTAATTTGGCCAGGTCGACACACAAAAATTGTAATCATTTTTCTAATATTTCAGATTTTTTCACAAAAACCCAGAAGATCCAGCAGAGGTTCCAGGTGGATTTTTATCAGATATAAACCCTGTAAGTCCCTTTAATAAAAACACTCACCTTAATATCAGATACAGTGTATAAACCCTGTAAGTCCCTCTTATAAAATATACTCACCTTAATATCAGATATAACCCTGTAAGTCCCTCTTATAAGTAATATTCACCTTAATATCAGATATAACCCTGTAAGTCCCTCATATAAAAAATACCTTAATATCAGATATAACCCTGTAAGTCCCTCTTATAAAAACACTCACCTTAATATCAGATATAACCCTGTAAGTCCCTCTTATAAAAAATACTCACCTTAATATCAGATATAACCCTGTAAGTCCCTCTTATAAGTAATACTCACCTTAATATCAGATATAACCCTGTAAGTCCCTCTTATAAGTAATACTCACCCTAATATCAGATATAACCCTGTAAGTCCCTCTTATAAGTAATACTCACCTTAATATCAGATATAACCCTGTAAGTCCCTCTTATATAATATACTCACGTTAATATCAGATATAACCCTGTAAGTCCCTCTTATAAGTAATACTCACCTTAATATCAGATATAACCCTGTAAGTCCCTCTTATATAATATACTCACGTTAATATCAGATATAACCCTGTAAGTCCCTCTTATAAGTAATACTCACCTTAATATCAGATATAACCCTGTAAGTCCCTCATATAAAAAATACCTTAATATCAGATATAACCCTGTAAGTCCCTCTTATAAGTAATACTCACCTTAATATCAGATATAACCCTGTAAGTCCCTCTTATAAAAAATACTCACCTTAATATCAGATATAACCCTGTAAGTCCCTCTTATAAGTAATACTCACCCTAATATCAGATATAACCCTGTAAATCCTTCTTATAAGTAATACTCACCTTAATATCAGATATAACCCTGTAAGTCCCTCTTATAAGTAATACTCACCCTAATATCAGATATAACCCTGTAAGTCCCTCTTATAAGTAATACTCACCTTAATATCAGATATAACCCTGTAAGTCCCTCTTATAAAAAATACTCACCTTAATATCAGATATAACCCTGTAAGTCCCTCTTATAAAAAATACTCACCTTAATATCAGATATAACCCTGTAAATCCTTCTTATAAGTAATACTCACCTTAATATCAGATATAAGCCCTGTAAGTCCCTCACAAGAAAATATCACAGATACATGTATAAACCAGAACATTGATCTTATATCTTAATATCAGATATAAACCATTTTAGTTCCTGAATGTAATAAAATGTCTTTGATGGTAATTATCTAAGCACATCAGCTATAATTTCATTGGTAAGTACCCCTCATTAAGATCTTTGCTGATTAGGTGTATTATGACTTTTGTTTGGAGTCAAAACCTGTCATTTTTTATCTCTTCTTTATATCTGTTACAGGAATCTCTGAAGATAATCCCACAGGCCTACGTAGATGCCACAGTTAAAAATGCCAAAGTCTTTGACAAGTTTCAGTTTGAGAGGTTAGGCTTCTTCGCTGTCGACAAAGACTCAAGTCCCACTAAGGTAAGTCAATCTAAATAACATGAGGATAAATTACTCTTGACTTTTTATACCAGAATATAGTTCCAACTAGAGGATGACTTTTCATGTATGTTTTATGACTGAATGAAATCTGACTCTCAGAAACATTATACATATTTATTTATGCTTATTACTGTGCATTTGATATTCCCAAAGTTCATTGAATTCTGTTTTTTTTAAGATGGTGTTCAACAGAACAGTTACCCTGAAAGAAGATCCAGGCAAAAGTTAACTACTGCTATTGAAATGGGACAGAAAAATACTTCAATATAACACACAGAATAAGACTGTAAATAAAACTATTATATTTTATGAAATTGATTTGTTCATAATATGAATAAAGATTACAGTAAAGAAATACTTTTTTTGTTCAGTATTTTTTGTGCACTATAAACATATCAAAACAAAAATTTCGTGTATTTCCTAATTAAAGCTGTCCAGACAGCTTATACATATGGCTGTTTTATTAATAAGGCTTGGAATATAACACGTGTGTACTGCATATTATAGAAAAGTTTACATAATTTTATTGATCCCAATTAAAGTTGTTAAACTATAACTGTTACAGAAAGAGGGATTACTATATATAGTTGAACTTTGGTATCTCGAACATCGATATCTTGAATACCATGGATATGTCGAAGTGATTGGGAAATCCCGACAATGTGTATCTTCAAAAGTATTTTACCCTTGATATCTCGAACTCCCATCTTGAAGTCTTTTGTCAGTCCTATCGAGTTCAGGATAATGAGGTTTGACTGTAATTTTTTTTTGTAAAAGTAATAATATTTGGTTAGTATACACAGTCATATGCATGCTTTTTAAAAAGGAGCATGTTTTTAAGTGGCAAGCAAATAAATTAACGTATAACAAATACTAAAGAGAAAAATCTGCCATAAACTTTAAAGTATACTTAGCATGACACAAACTATTGTAGCACAATCTAAAATTTATGTTTAGCTCTGTTTTGACATCTAATAGTACAAGTATAAACTATTACAATTACATTTCTAATGATTCTATTTCGTCATTTTGTTCCTTTCTTCGATTTTTAAAAAAAAAAATAATGTTGATGTACAATTATGAGACTGGCAGGTGCAAGATTTTATAAATATAGTTTCTGTGTTCTCTTTCAATTTAGATAACATATGGTTCCAAATACTGACAAAAGCACTTCTTCTGACGATAGGTATTGTGTCGGTCGAACTTAAAATCTTCAAGGAATGTCCATGTGGCCAGTCTATCTTGATTATCTTCTATGAATCTAAGAATCCTCTCCTCGGCCTCTTTCTGTAAGATTAATCAGGAAAATGTAAAAATCTAAGTTTTTGTAATAAAAATTTTCTCAATACACTAATTTTTCAGAAAATTATATGATCGACTTCGGATAATCACAGTTGATTTCATCTGATGCATCGATCAAAAATATTTAATTCAATATTTTATTCACAAATGTTTGTTGTTGGTTTTTGTTTTGGTCAAAATGCACACAAATGACACTTTAAAATCATGGAGCGATGACAAAGAGATGGAAAATTTATAGAGAAACGTGTGTAAAAATGGAGCATTTTGTAACAAATGACTTATTTTGCAATAATTCAAGGTATACTTCAGCGATTCAAAACACAATATCAGGAAAATGAAATATGGAGATAACGAACAATGATTATAACCAAGCTTAAAATTCCATTGAAACAACACAAATCAGGAGCAAAGCAAACACGACCCTCTGAAAAACAGAGGTGGGATCAGATGTCATGGAGGAGTAAGCATCCCCTATCCACCTGCCACACCCTCTGTGTGCTCATTGTCATGATCGGGCGACCGAAATAATCCATAGACAATCCAGTGTTTAAATAATGGCCCAAGATTAGTATGAAAAACGTCAGTCAGCACTCGGCTTACTGATCGATTGTATTCGCTGACAAAGTCGGATCATTGTATCGACCATAGAACTTACGAAATGATGACTTTAAACGAGACTGTTGATATCCTTGTTTCATCACTTTGTTTGACAATAGTTTGCCTCGTTTTAGAAATTGTTCGTACGTGGAGCATGCTCTTGCCTATTTAATCAATTGGGAGATATAAACCCCATATGCAGTATATTATCATACTATGGGTTAAATGATTTATTACAGAAACAAGTGCCCGTGGCCTTTTCCTACATGACATTGACAAGAACCCGATTTATCAATAAAGTGCTAAAATATGGTTTGCTTCAATGAAATTTTCACTTTTCAAGTGCGCCCAGATTCTTGCCGAATCCAAATCAAGGGTGCCGCTAATCTTTTATCAGAATTCAGATATTTGGGTAATTAATAAAGTTTTTTCTTTATCACCCTCTTGTATCCTCCATGTACGCTGTGATGGTTTTAAAACAATCATCATCTAAGTTACATAATTACAAACTCTCAAACAAACTATTTTTGTTTCTATGTCAAATTATAGGGCATTACCAAACCCTGTCCTTTAGAGGAGAATGAAATATTCTTATAGAAACTGGAAGGTACGATAACTTAATAAGGGGTAATAGGAAATGTAATTTATGTAATTTAAATGATATTGAGGATGAATTTCATTTTTTATTCATTTGTCCAGTTTTTCATAATTTAAGAGACAAGTTTATCAAACATTACTACTCCCGAAGATCAAGTGTCTTTAAACTAATACAACTGTTTTGTAGTACAAATACTTAAGATGTAAACCATTTCGGGAAATATATATGTATATATATTTAGGATCATTCTAATAAATTACTATTAGAATGCTTGATACAATCAGCTATATGATAGAATGTAAGTATCACAAGTTTTTAAGTGTTCTTGTGCTATATATGTAATTGATATATATATATATATATATATATATATATATATATATATATATATATATATATATATATATATATATATATATATATATATATATATATATAAAATTCAAAAGCAGTTAAAAAATGATTCACACAGTAAAAATAATCATAATGGAAAATGCACAGTTTCCAAATTTCATTTAACACAAGCGCTTTCTGGATTTAACAATCCTTCTTCATGTGTACATGTACATACTTTGAACTGAATTATATATATATATATATATTATTATATATAACTATTATAGTTGATAAATACCTTTGCAGATTCATCACTGCCTTCCTTCCGTTTGAATAAATATGTAAGACATTTCTTTAAAAAAATAAAACAATGATGAAAAATTTAGCTTTTTCAAAGGTCGTGATGTAAATTATTTAAATAGTCTTTCATTTTCACAAAAACAAGTCGAAACTTATTTAAAGTGTATAACATTTATTACCTTACAAGGGTCTGTATCATAATGCAACACAATTATCTGTAAAATGAATAATTGAGATTCAGTTACTTTTAGTTTAATTTCTAGCTCCTGTCTAGTTACAACAACTAAAAAGCGAAAACATTACCTTTTCATTTGTAGAAAGAAGTGGTAGAATTTTCAGGGTTTGATAGTTTTCAACTAGGTATCTCCACATAATCTTTTTAAGCTCTTTTTCCTTCTGTAAAATAAAATATAACCTGTTTAAATAATTTTTCACTACAATAAATATTATTGAAGACTTCGGCAACAGGAGGCCCATGGACCAGAACGCTCACACGAGTCTCTTCTTCTTGAACAGTTTTTTGTTTTTTAAATATCCTTCATTAAGGCCAAAGCATAATAGTTTTTTTTCCTGCTACCAGCCTGAAAAAAAAATAGGATAGGTATTTTTTTCCGACGGTGTTTTTTGGATATGAACTAATATAAGATTAAATTAAACATGTCAATATTGTCTTTTAGAAGGAAATTTCATGTTGTTTGATGCACAACTCAAGTGGTATTTTATGAAAGTCCATATTTAAAACAGAGAATTTTATGAAATACCACTTGAATATATATTTTTTTTCAGTTTTGGAACATGAATTTCCGGAAATACCCGATTTTTTTTTTTACCAAAACTAAAAAAAAAATGCTTTAGGTCGAGTGCAAAAAAAAAAAAAAAAAAAAAAAAAAAAAAATTTGTCGGTCGATCGGGTAGCAGGAAACAGGACTATTGTTTTCTGGCCTAATTTAATCAATTTTGACTTCTTATTGTGGACCTAAATCTAGTCTTAATGGATCAAAGTTGATTCCACACAACATTAGGATGCTTCAATATCAATACGATCAAAAAGGCCATGCTGTTCTGGAGTGGATTTTTTTAATTATGCACATAATGCATGTAAATCTTGGATCTCTGATTAGTTTCGGCCCAACTCTTACCAAAGGGCTCAAAATAAATAAATATATAAAGGTCACATACAACGTATGTTATGTTCTGCATTATTAAGTGTGGTCTTTTCATTCTTGAAAAGATTCCATTCTATGTACCCCTCGTAAAGCCCTGACCCCCTACTGTAGACTAAACCTATTCCAAAAGGCCCTGATCTGAAGAAACTTGATTCCAAACTACTCAGTACTTGATAATGCTTCCATATAATGCATTTGTTGTTCATTAAAGGAAGAATCTTAAGATTTTTCCTATATTTATTCCTATGTATAACTTTGATCACCTATTGTTACCCCGCCCTACCCCCATGATTTGAACAAACCTGAATATACAGTACTTGAGGAAGTTCCAATATTGATATAACTTATCATGGTGTTGCTGTTCTTGAGAAAATTTTTAAAGGTTTTTGCCTTTGTACTTATATTTCTATTCAAAAGTTTGATCGCCTATTGTGGCCTCACCGTGCGCCCGGGGGTTATTATTTGAACAAACTACCTATCCGAGGATGCTCTCATATTAATATGACTGGCCATACCTTTGCTATTCTTGAGAAGAATTTCAAAGATTTTACTTATATATTCCTAGATATGTCCTTTGATCCCCTGCTGTGGCTCCACCCTACGCCCGGTGATCATGATTTGAATAAATTGAATCTACAGTACGTCATAAAGCTTTCACTGAAGTTTCATCGTTTCTGGCCCAGTGGTTCGTAAAAAGGAGTTAAAGAACATTTTTAAAAGATGTCATCAAATGTTCACTTATCTCCCCTTGAAAGAGGACGAACAAACTTAAACCCCCTTCGCTACAGAGAGGCTACAGAGACGTTAATAAAAATATGACGTTATAGGGCAGCGAGAAATTCAAACACTGAGTATATTTTTGGTGCATTTAAGCATGTAAAATGTACATATAAGGAATGTTTTTAAGTTTAGTGTGCATTATTGGTGTGTAAATCACACAGACTTACACGTTGGCATACTTTTAATGAAGCGTGTCTACGTGACAAGTCTGTGTGATTTACACACCAATAACTCACGCAAATCTTAAAAACATTCCTTAAGTAAAACAGGTTCGTCATGTAACCATAAATTGATTGTTTAGTCATAAATGATCTACGTAATTTCATAGTGACGTCGTGAGTGATCGACGTGTTCATACCGTTTAGTTTTGAAAAAAAATGAATCATTTCTGGGTTTAAAACTTTAGTACCTTACTATTTGTAATAAATCGGTCACAAATGTAATTATAAGTAATAAGCTAAGGGCTTTATGGGATTTGATCACATGACCAATCCGTATTTACATCCCGAAAAAACTTAAAGTTTCATTTCAGGTTCAAGAAACGAATGGAAACATGTAAAACACAATATAAAGTAAGTCTCGTCATTTTTGGATGGTATCGCCAAGCCCCCTAACTCCGTCACTACCCTAACTCCGCGCTGTTTGTAAACGAATGCGATTGTAGTCTTGTCCCATGATCCCTTGCACTTCGTTATTGGGGTCCCCAATAACGAAGTGCAAGGGATAATGGGACAAAACAAATGCGATTGTGATGTCATTTTTTACATGCTGAAAATCAACTATCAAATGCCGAGAAATTATGACAGTCAAGTTCAAGAATGCGTCAAAAAATATATCAATTACACGTGATCTATTGTATCTATCATATTTTATGTGAAATCAGAAAGCATTTTTTCCTTTATGCGTTATTCCATCGATACCTCTGATGCTCATTTTTACATGTCAGTCGTATATGAAAGTCTTTGACAAAGGATTAATAAGACATACCATATTGAATATGGCTAAAAATATTTGATTTTTCGTCTCAATTTGCCCTAATACGCTACACGTTGGAGATAATTTTTCGTAGCGTGACGTTATTACATATACATTGTAAACATAAAATACAAGGCTACTGTCTTGAAATATAAGCGATATTTGGGCGAGGGTAAGGAAACCTGATAGAGGTCGAGGCTTGCCGAGCCCTCTATCACGTTTTCGACCCGAGCTTATATTTCAAGACAGTATCTATGTATTTTGTTTATCCTGCGATATATTTTTACACCAGACCTCCAAAACGAGCTGTTTTTCAACCGATTTAGGCACATGTCTGCAGTTGAAACTAAAACCATGAAGACGCCATGCGTAAACATTGCAATGTGCATGACAATGCTTTTATAACGTCGAAATACATGCACGAGGCTTTATTAGGGCATTGGTTTATTATAGGTTACCTTTCTTAGGTCAATGCAAGGGGTAGTTGCAGGATAAAATACGTTATATTAACGTTATTTTTTCTGTTGTTGATACTTTTGTTAACATACAATTTAATACTATTTTAAATCTTCAAAACTAATTTTTATGCTTACCAGTTTAAGAGGAAGGGAGAAAAAAAAAACAAACTGAAAAATAATTAAAATCAATTCGTTGACATATTGTAGAGGGCCTTGGTGACGGAGTTAGGGTTCATTGAACGTTCTATTTATAGTAGTTTTGTATAAGCCCAATAACTGAATTTCTTAAAATAGTTCTGAAAACAATGTTTAAGTTCATTACTCAGTGTAGCAAACAATGAAACATATACAGATAACGAACAGTATTCAAGCTCAAAAGTCCATTAAACAATACAAAATAGGAGCAGAGCAAACACGGACATCCAAAACATCAGAGGTGGGATCAGGTGCATTGGAAGAGTGAGAATACCCTGCCGACCGGTCACACCCGTCGTGTGCTCCTTGTCATGATCGGGAAATAACGGAAAAATCCGTCGACAATTCAGTGTGTAAATAATGGCATAACAATTAGTATGAAAAAAGTCAGTCAGCATTTGACTTAGTGAAAGATTGTGTTTGCTGACAAAGAAACAAATTTAAAAAAATAATTGAGAGAGTAACCTGATCAAATCAAAGATCCTAGACTGCAAAGACAACTAGAGCAGGAATCCCTATCAAAGTCTTACAAGAATAAGGATAAAGAGGTCAAAAGGAGTGCGAGGCGAGACAAGCGGAAGCATATAGAAGACAATGTAAGTAGAGCTGAGGAAGCAGCAAGGACTGGAAATATTCAAGAACTCTATAAGATCACCAAACTGATGTCTGGCAAATTTACCAACAATTTTAATGTTGTGAAAGAACAGTATGGCAACATCCTTTCCAAGGACAGTGACATCATGGAAAGATGGGCAGAACATTTTAGATCAGTTCTGAATAGAGGAAACCCAACTCAACCACCAGATATCAATATCGATAACAACAACATAGCCGAACTTGACATCAATGTGGAGGAAATAAGTGTAGAGGAAATACAGAAGGCCATCAGAAAGATGAAAGACAACAAAGCTGCAGGAGTAGATGACATCCCAGCAGAGTTACTAAAAGCAGACATTGAAGCAACATCAAAGGTCATATATAATTTGTTCCAAGACATTTGGAGAACCAACATGGTACCAACAGAGTGGAAAAGATTCAAATATATTACGTAATTTTGTTAGGTCTAAGCTTGATGATGAAACCTTTTTTAGTATTCATATAATTGAGGAAAATGAATTTTTAACATGTTAAATTCTCTTAATTCAATAAATCAGCTGGCGTTGACTTTATTGGACCGCATCTTTTGAAAGTCACATCTAAATATATATGTAAACCAATAACTCATCTTATTAACGCTAGTATAGTAAGTGGTATTTTCCCAACAAATTTAAAACAAGCCAAAGTAACACCTATTTTTAAGAAAGATGACAAAGCTGACCCGAATAATTATCGATAATTTCTATTCTAACGACTATATCTAAATTGATAGAAAAACATGTAGCTAAGCTAATACAAAATTTCACTATTGAATTTAATCTACTAACACAATCCCAGTCGGGGTTTAGATAACTCCATTCGTGTCAAACTTCACTTACAAAACTAACAGAAAGTTGGCTTAATGCAATGGATCGTGGTGAACTAATCGGTATTACATTTATAGTTTTTAGTAAAGCATTTGATTTGGTGAATCATAATATTCTTCTAGAGAAATTAACCCATTACAAATTTGACCATACAGCTATAAAGTGGTTTAAGTCATATATTTACGTCAGGACCCAGTGTGTTAAATTTGGAACATGTGTCTCCAATATTCTACCCGTCACAGCAGGAGTACCACAGGGCTCAATTTTGTGTCCACTTTTATTTTTATTGTACATAAATGACCTTCCATTACATGTAAACAATTCAAATATTGATATGTTTGCTGATGATGAAACTCTGTATTCTAATAATCATAATGCAAGATGTTTAGAAAATACACTAAATTCAGATCTTTGCGAGATTGAGAAATGGTGTGCTCAAAACCAAATGGTATTAAATGTAGACAAAACAAAATGTATGCTAATGGGGACACAGCAAAGAAAATCAAAACTAGATAATCCAAATTTACAACTTTATGCCTCAGACAAAACAATTGAAATGGTTGAAACTGAGAAACTTCTTGGTGTACATATTGATGATAAGTTACAGTATGCAAATCATATTGATTCAGTTTGTAAAACCATAAACTATAAGTTATTTACTCTACGTAAGATAAAAAAATTTCTTCCCCTACATACCAGAAAACTATATTACAATGCTTATATTCTACCATCTATTAACTATTGTTTGACTATTTGGGGTAATGCCCCCAAGCAGGACATGGGTAGACTATTTAAATTACAAAAAAGGGCAGCCAGGATTATTCTTGACGCAAGTCCTGATTCTTCTTCTAAACCACTGTTTGAGAAACTTGGATGGTTAACAGTTTATGAGCTAGTTGATCTATACAAATACATATTATTATACAAAATTTTCAGCGGAATGACTCCCGAATATCTTTGTAATTTATTTGAATTTCACTCCTCAGCTTCTTATAACCTGCGATCTGAAACTAATTATGACCTTAAATTACCAAAGTTCCGTACAAACTTATTCAAGACTTCTTTTCAGTACTCAGGTGTGCACCTATGGAATAAACTTCCCCAGCACATAAGACTCTCTCAATCTCTACGAGCATTTAAGTGTAATGTAGAAAATTACATTATCAGCTATCTGTCGTACAATTATTTGAGCACAGTAAGATTTTGATATCCTATCTACAATGTGATTGTTAGTTGTATGTACATATTATCAGACATGGACACTCTATTCATAATTTTGTGATTGTAATTCCTTATGACTATCACTGTTATATGTTGAATTGTATATTTACATGTGTACTTGTTTATCTTTGTAATTGATATATAGAAGGCTCTGGGGAAGAATAATGCATGCACTAACCAGGTTACCTTCTTTAAATAAAGTTTTATTATTATTATTATTATTAAGTGCCACCTGGCATGAAGAGGCCTAAGTAAGTAACCTGGCGTGTTTTCCGCTTATGGTGAGGAAGTTTGGGTAGTAGGGAATATAAATAGAAAAGTAATTGTCACGGGGATTAAAAACCGAACTCATGACGTCATAACTGCTGATCAAATATTTGCCAAGTGTAAATGAAACTAACGAGAATATTCATGTAAACAAATATATGATATTTGAGTTTAAAAGTATATACCATGAATATCATGTGTGATTCATAAGGAATTAAAGCTATTAAGAATCAGGTACGCTAATTTAATATTTGTATCATTTTTATGCACCCGTAACGAAGATTCGGGGGTATATAGTTTTTGCCCTGTCCGTCCGTCTGTCTGTCTGTCTGTCTGTTTGTCCGCAAAAACTTAAACATTGCTCATAACTACTGATTGGTTAAAGCTATGGCTTTCATATTTCACATGTGTATTCCTTATGACAAGACCTTTCTTTGGGTACCATCATATTTGAAAATTTGACCTTGGAGTTTGACCCAGTTTTACAAAATTTTTCCCAACTTTAACCTTGGCCATAACTTTTGAACGGTTGATGCTAGGGCTTTCAAATTTCACATGTGTAATTCTTGTGACAAGACCTTCCTTTGGATACCAACAACTTTAACCCTTTGACCTTGACCTTGGAGTTTGATCTCCTTTTGAAAAAGCTTAACATTGGCTATAACTTTTGAACGGTTGACGCTGGGCTCTCATATTTCACATGTGTAATCCTTGTGACAAGACCTTCCTCTGGATACCAACACTTTTTACCCTTTCACCTTGACCTTGGAGTTTGACCTACTTTTGAAATCTTTAACATTTGCCATATCTTTTAAACGGTTTACGCTAGGGCTCTCATATTTCACATGTGTAATCCTTGTGACAAAACTTTCCTCTGGATACCAACAACTTTGACCCTTTGACCTTGACCTTGGAGTTTGACCTACTTTTGAAATCTTTAACATTTGCCATATCTTTTGAACGGTTGACGCTAGGGCTCTCATATTTCACATGTGTAATCCTTGTGACAAAACCTTCCTCTGGATACCAACAACTTTGACCCTTTGACCTTGGAGTTTGACCTACTTTTGAAAAACTTTAACATTGGCCATATCTTTTGAACGATTGGTGCTAGGGCTTTCATACTTCACAAATGTTATCCTTGTGACAAGACCTTACTTTGGATATCAACAATTATAGCCCATTGACCTTGACCTTGGAGTTTGACCTACTTTTGAAAAACTTTAACCTTGGCCATATCTTTTAAATGGTTGGTGCTAGGACTTTCACATTTCACATGTGTATTTCCTGTGAGAAGGCCTTTCCTTGGGCACCATTGATTTTGACCTTGACCTTGATGTTTGACTTACTTTTGAAAACTTTTAACCTTTTCCATATCTTTCCAATGGTTGCTGCTAAGGCTTTCATATTTTACAAGTATATTCCTCGGTACAAGACCTTACTTTGGGTACCAACATATTTTATTTGCATTTGAGAAAATTTAACCTTCGCTATAAGTTGCCTTACGGGGGCATCAGTGTTTCACAAACACTTCTTGTTCTTCTAATGTAGAAAGACTGTGTTTTGAAATCCCAATCAGCCTTTCCTCTGTCATTCTTAACAACAAAAGTGCTAAAGTTCAACACTACGCCGTATACTTTGAAACATAATTTTTGTTTATATCGAAAGTTTGTATTCAACAATACTTGAAAAGTGCTGCTAGAATCGTGTGGTAAACATGCATTAATAAAAATTCCTCGATAGTATGTACAAAATGAAAAACAAATTTGGTGAGGTGAAATATGTGGAGATAACGAACAGTATTCGAGCTCAAGAGTCCATTAAACATTACAAAATAGGAGCAGAGCAAACACGGACCTCTAAGACATCAGAGGTGGGATCAGGTGCCATGGAGGAGTGAGCATCCCCTGCAGGCCGGTCACACCCACCGTGTGTTCATTGTTGTGATCGGGAAATAACGGATTAATAACAATTCAGTGTGTAAATAATGACCTAACAATTAGTATGAAAAGAGTCAGCTAGCATTTTTACTTAGTGAAAGATTGTATTTGCTGACAAGGTGCTTGTATGACCATAGAATTTACGAAATGATGATTTTAAACGAGACTGCTGATATCCTTGTTTCATCAACTTGTTTGTGAAAACTTACCTCGTTTTAGTAATTGTTCATAGGTAGAGCATGCTCTAGCGTATCGAATCAACTGAGAGATATAAAGCCCGTATGCAGGTGATAAGGGTATATTGCTGCATAAGTAAGGGAAGTTGACGATTGAAAAGTTAAAGTCATTACGTTTATCATAAAGCTTGGTTGTTAGATTACCATTAACGTCTTTTTCAAATAAAATATCCAAATACAAAACAGATATGTCAGACTCTGTGGTATCTTTTATCTCAAGTTCACCGGCATATATCGTGTCGGCATAAGAATGGAAATAACCATTTTTAATTGACAATACGTCGTCGATATATCTAAATGTCGAGTTGAAAGCCACAGCAAGTGTTTTCTTCTTTTCACGTAAAAGATTTTGAACAAATTCTGCTTCATGTGAATACAAACATAGGTCTGCTAATAACGGGGCGCAATTGGTACCCATGGAAATTCAAATAGATTGTTGGAAGACCTAGTCTTCGAAAACCACATAGATATTGTCAATTAGGAACTCGAGCATCTTTTTAATGTCAACTTCAGAGTACTTGTGTGTACAATCAGATTGTTTTTGAACAAAGTAATTTTGCAAATGACCAATGACAAGGTAAGTAAATTTACGAGTTCCATTTTTATTGAAAAAGCAGCTATCAACGATGTCAGAAAATCTGAACTTTAATTTATCGTGGGGAATAGTTGTATATAAGTTGAAAAGTAAGTTTTTATGTTGTTCTTGCATTGGAATATTCTTTTCTGTGACGGGAGAATAGGATTCTAGCAGCACCTTTCATGGCCCAGTCATGTTTTAAAATTGACTCACGGTGCCAACATAATTCTAGAACTACTGAAGTATAAAGACATATTTTTAATAAGTTTTTAATTTTTAAATAATATTTAAAAATGCAACTAACAATTACACGGTTACATGGAAGTGTGAAAACAAATTTGTCTATGTTCCTTCATGCGTAAAGTACAGCGAGGGTCTAGGAGATAATTGATTATGAAAGGTGAAGCAAGACAAATTGCCCTAATTAAGAGACAATTATATATATATATATATATATATATATATATATATATATATATATATATATATATATATATATATGTGTGTGTGTGTGTGTGTGTGTGTGTGTGTGTGTGTGTGTGTGTGTGTGTGTGTGTGTGTGTGTTTGTGTAACATACCAAACAATTTAGAATCAAAGAATCAATAGAAGACATTTACCAAATGAATGATTACTTTGTTATGTGTAAGGTATAATTCATAATATTCAAATTACATAAAAAATAGTTTTATGACTGTTCTTACAAATATAACGTATTATTAACACTCACCTTCCGAATTGGATATCTTTCCATTGCAATTGCCATGATTGCTGAAGTGGTTTTGTCGCAACAGCGACAGAAGATAACGGATACCGTCACAACTGGTATAATAATGCCGGTAGAACAAGCGGCAGCCATTACCTCATGTGAAATTTCGGCCTTGTGGATAAGGTAAATAAAAAAGCATGCGAGGATAATTGCTATCAACCCACAACTGATAAGAAACCAGAGAAGGCATAGAAATCCAGGATCGTGCAAGAGGTACCATTTTTTGTAACTGCTAGAGTTCAGATCCTTTATGATTTTATCGCAAAGGAAATCAATCTGTAAACAAAGAAGCAAAAAACAAGATCGAAACCCATGGAAAATAGTACTCTTCTCAGTCACCATTGCATATGAAACCATATATATTTTCATATTTTTGAGAGAGAATGGGTAAAATATCAATGAAGTGCACTGTAAAATACTGTTAACGTAAATATTGATTATGATGATGTAAGTAAGTATGAGGTCAACCCATATTCTAGAATTTTCCATGCTGTTCTTCATAGTAAATAGATTTTACCCCTCATTATTTCCATTAAAATTTGACCCGAAATTTGGCCCGATCCTAGCACCAAGGGGTGGATCCCCAAACTCTTTATTCAGTGTATGTTAATAAAATTACAAATTAATTTATTAATGTTATACAATTACGAGTACAAAAATTTACGAAAATCCTTGTTAGTTTCTCACAACTGCATAAATATTCAAAAATTAGTGATAATGCTAATAAACGGAAGTTTGGCTTTCCAGAAAGTCTTCAGTATCATCTCTGGTTTCAATAATATCACTGAAAAAAGTGGAATTCAACTTTTTTAGCTCTTAACCTGGGAGTTAAAATGTATATAATGATTTTAGATAAGGGTTTCTGAGTATACGTACCCAGCAAGACATTAACTCTGACAATCACCAAACACTAAAGCGCTAAACATTTTTCATAGTTTAATCCCCCGAAGTCATTTTGCCATACAGCATTGCCACTGATGATATCGAGGCAGATCTGAGCCATGCTTGACATTATATAAAGAACAGGGGAATGATTGAATTATTGATTTTCTACATTAACCAACAATAATGGCAATGTAATATAAAATCAAATATTTAAGAAATAAAAATGTGTTTTAAATCCTTAAAAAATCTCAGTTAGAACGAAATTAAGGCAATTAAGAAAAAAAGTTTTCTCTTCCTTCAAAATTATATTACCGTTCACGGTAGTTCAGTCAGTAGAGCGCTCGCTTTGTGATCGGGAGATCGTGAGTTCGAATCTCGGCCGCCACTAACCTAAGTCGATAAAGAATGGGTAGCAACTGTTCCTTCGCCATGCGCTCGGCACTTTGAAGTGAAAGATGCGGGTCCTTCGGATGAGACCTTAAAAACCGAGGCCTCGTGTGGCGGCAGACGTGGCACGATAAAGATCCCTCACTGCTCAATGGCCCTGAGTGCCGAGTAAAGGTCAAATTTGAAGCCCTTCACCTTATATGGTGACGTCTCTATATGAGAGAAAAATTCTCGAATGGGAGGTAAAACAACATTAGAACAAAATTGATTCCCCTTTACTCTGTACCAAGTTTGGTTAAAATTGACCCGTTAGTTCTAGAGAAGTTGAAAATGTGAAAAGTTTATGACAACGCCAACAACACACAAAGCATCAATGGGGAACACACCAGACAACTGAAGAATTTTGATCAGAAAAGCTTAGTTGAGCCTTTGGCTCAGGTGACCTTAAAAGGGAAAGGATACACCCCCCAAGTACAGTTCGGGATCCGCCCGCAAATAACATCAATAGTAAATAAATGTTAATTATGTTTATATCTCTAGATATTTTCATTGTTTTTTTCTTTTATTTGATAAATCAACCATGCTACTGAATAAGTTCAGATGGTCTTACAAAATTAATTTTTCAAAGTCAGTAGTACGAACACGTATATAAAAGCATCAACATGTGAAAAAAACTGTATGATAAACTTGATGACTTTAACTTTTCCATTGTCAGCTTCCCTTATTATGTAACAATATACCCTTGTCACCTGCATATGGTGTTTATATCTCTCAATTGATTAGATACGCAAGAGCATGCTAAACCTACGAACAATTTCTAAAACGAGGCAAGCTATTCATAATCAAGTTGATGAAACAAGGATATCAACAGTCTTGTTTAAAGTCGTCATTTCGCAAGTTCTGTGGTCGATACAATGACCTTGTCAGCAAATACAATCTATCATTAAGTCGAATGCTGATTGACTTTTTTCATACTAATTGTTAGGCCATTATTTAAACACTGAATCGTCTATGAATTTCTTCATTTGCCCGATCATGACAATGCGCAAAAGGTGGATGTGACCGTTCGGCAGGGGATGCTCTCTCCTTCATGACACCTAATCCCACCTCTGATGTTTTTTAGAGGTCCGTGTTTGCTCTGATCCAAATTTGTATTGTTTCAAGAAAATGATGCGAATATCTATTTAGTAACGTAGTACTTATTCAAATTCATTTAAATCTAGGGGCTAGGGTTGAGCCACCACAAGAAACAAATAAAAGAAATTACCATTGGGACTGAAGACGGCGAAAAAAATTTAGTTACTTCTCTTTTTGACCGAATAACAGCTTATATTCATTTAGGCATGTGAAAAGCTAACTTTTTACAGACCTTTATTTTTTGCAATTGTAATTAATTGCAATTGCAATTAGATTGTAAAAAAGTTATTAGCATGTTATTTAGTAGGCTCCAGTCTTCTTTATTTGACCCCAAATGTTGTATTAATGTTTGAATCAGGACCTCCCCCCCCTCCCCCAAAAAAAAGGAAATGTAAAAATTATATTTTTATCTGAGAAAAGCTTTTGAGCTCTCTGAATTATGGCATCCAACAAAATGATTCATACAAAAAGTTTTCTGGGATAAGTACACATCATATTAACATCTTTCGGTATCTCCTGATGAGCACAAGAGAGTCTCTCAAACGCAGTGCATTTTCTACATTAACACAGCCCATAAGCATTCTCGACTGAAATTCAATCTAAAACGCAGGAGGAATAAGGAGATGACAATTAAAACATGCCAACAGATTAAAAGACATATGGAAGATACTTCAGTGGAAATGGTACTCAATTCCCAAATAGCTCTGTGAAAATATTAAGGCTATTATTCGAGCAAATACTCCTACTAATATTAAAAAAAGGAAGAAAATTTCAGTCATGATTGTAACAAGAGGCCCATGGGCCACATCGCTCACCTGAGCACATTGGCTAGGCAAAAGCACAAATCTGTTCAGTATTGAAAAGATTTCGGGGGGGGGGGGGCTTAAATTTTAAACTACATTCCATGTCAATTTAACAAATGGCTTTGTTGTACTTGAAAGGATTTTTAAAAAAGATTTTTCCATATATTCCTTTGTAAAAATTTGATCCCCCATTGTGGCTCCTCCCTATCCCAGAAGTCAGCATTTGAACAAACTTGAATCTACAATATCTGAGGATGCTTCCATATCAATATGACTAAACATAGTTTTTCTGTTCTTGAGAAGAAATATTTTTTCTGTATGTACTTATGTAAAACTTTCGATCCCCCATTGGGCCCCATCCTACCCCCGCAAAGGCGGATCCAGGGCCGGTGCGCCCCCGTTTGAATTTTTGCATATATAACTCATATGTCCATTGTCCTAACATCAAGGACAAAACATCTCTTCTTTGTAAGACTTCGTCAGCTTCCCAGACCCCCACCAAGGCCTTGCTCTAGACCCACTGGGGGCTTCAATGCAGCCCCCAGACCCACTGCCTCTACTCCCCTCAACCCCCGTTACGAAATTCCTGGATCTGCCACTGCCCCGGGGGTTATCATTTGAACAAAATTGAATTAATACTACCTGAGGATGCTTCCATATCAAAATGACTAAACATGATTTTCAGTTCTTGAGAAGAATATATTTTCCTATATGTTCCTATGTAAAATTTTCAATCCCCCATTTGGTCCCACCCTACCCCTGGGGGTCATCATTTGAACAAAATTGAATTTACACTACTTGAGGATGCTTTCATATCAAAATGACTTATCATGGCTTTGCAGTTCTTCAGAAGAAGATATTTTCCTATATATTTCTATTTAAGACTTTGATCTTCCATTGTGGCCCCACCCTACCTCCCAGGGGCCATGATTTGAACAAAAAAGAGTTTGCACTACCTGAGGATGCTTCCACATAAATATGACCATCAGGGCTTTGCTGTTCCTGAGAAGAAGACTTTTTAAAGATTTTTCCTATACATTTCAATGTAAAACTTTGATATTCCATTGTGGCCCCGCCCTACCCCCGGGGATCATAATTTGAACAAATTTGAATCCACACTACCTGAGGACGCTTCCATATAAATATGACTCGTCATGGCTTTGCTGTTCTTGAGAAGATTTTTAAAGATTTTTTCTTCATATTTCTATGTAAAGCTTTGATCCTCTATTGTGGCCCCGCCCTATCCCCGGGGGTCATTATTTGAATAAACTTGAATCTACACAACCTGAGGATGCTTCCATATAAATATGACTCATCATGGCTTTGCTGTTCTTGAGAAGATTTTTAAAGATTTTTCCTATATATTTCTATGTAAAACTTTGATCCTCCACCGTAGCCCCGTCCTATCCCCGGGGCTCATGATTTGAACAAACTTGAATCTACACTACCTGAGGATGCTTCCATATAAATATAACATCATGGCTTTGCTGTTCTTGAGAAGAAGATTTTTAAAGGTTTTTTTCCCTATATATTGCTATGTAAAACTTTGATCCTCCATTGTGGCCCTACTCCCGGGGGTCATGATTTGAACAAACTTGAATCTACACTACCTGAGGATGCTTCCACATGAGTTTCATCTTTCCTGGCCCTGTGGTTCTTGAGAAGAAGATTTTAAAAAGATACTATTAATTTTTCACCAATTCTCTATTATCTCCCCTTGAAAGAGGGCGTGGCCCTTCATTTGAAAAAACTTCAATCCTCTCTACCCATGGATGCTTTGTGGGAAGTATGGTTGAAATTGGCCCAGTGGTTCTGGAGAAGAAGATGAAATTGTGAAAAGTTTACAACAACGACACCGCCGATAACAATGACAACAACAGACAACGGACAAATTTCGATCAGAAAAGCTCACTTGAGTCTTCGGCTCAGGTGAGCTAATAATTATGATAAAATTGCTAAATCATTCATAATTTTTGTTTGTGCCTTTGTTTAGTAGCTATATATTTACGTTTATTATGTGCATTCAATTAGTTCACAAAAGTATATCATGTTAGAAAGTTTTTTGAGCTTTATAAATAAATATATAAAAATTGATATTTTACCTGACGGGACCTAGGTTTATTGTTAATGACGTGACGTTTTTTCGTATTCTCATAGAAATTTAAAATAGGAATTCCTAATTCCCAATGCTTCTCTGATTCCATTACTCGAAGAGGTTGTCCATTGTATAGCTCTAATAGTAAATATAATAGATCATGATAAAAAACTGCAATAATGCATCAATATTCATTTCAATGATTGGGGAAGAAATCAATTATTTTACCTCGCAAAGGTATAAACGTAGGTAAAATACTTCTATCTTGAGCTGAAATAAAGTAATAAGTTATTTGAACAAATAATCTTGTAAATCAATAATAATAGAGAATTTAATTGCATTTATTCTCTCAATTGTAATGTAGATAAAATCTTACGGAATGGATCATTGTATTAAAATAAAAAGTTCACATTATTTTTTTTTACTTTAATACACGCAAAGCATTTAATTTTATGAACATGAATGAAAATAAGTCGATGGCAGAAGTGTCAGCTATTTCTTACAAACACTATCGTATCTGAAATGAAATTCAAGACCCTTTTGATAATTGGTTCAATGTCATTCAACACTGGGTCTCGAAAAAGTATTGCTTTGTCATTTAAACAAGAAAAGGTTTAAAAAACAGGTTTTGAATGTCTGTAATGGTATTGAAAAAAAATATTTACAACTCAGGGACAATCACAGCATTAAGTTTTACTTCTAACCATTAGACAAACATTTCTTAAGATATTGACAGTCGACAATGTTTTCCTGTATTCATAGTTGTTTTGGCATTTGACGTTGTGTCATCAAATCAACAGAGTTCCTTTTTGTTTAAATGACGATACTTTGTCTATCCTCAGTGTTAAATGAAATATAAAAGAAAAGAACAGTAATCAAGATCAATTGTACATTAGAACAATAAAAATTGAGAGAAGAGCAAACATGGACTTCTAAAGTCATTAGAGGTGGGATCAGATTCCATGAAAGTGTAAGCATTCCCTGTTGACCGGTCAAACCTGCCGTGTGCTCATTGTCGTGATCAGGCAAACGGAAAAATTCGTAGACAATTCAGGATGAAAATAATGACCCAACATTTGGTATGAAAAACGTCAATCAACTTTCGACTTTCGATAGATTACATAATTTATATTTGCTGACAAGGTCATTGCATGGACCATTTAATTAACTAAATGTTGACTTTAAAGAAGACTGTTGATACTTTATCATCAACAAATTTAGCCCCTTATTTGATGTAAAAATCAAAACACAGTTAAAATTGTGATATTTTGCAGTTAAGAACTTTAAATGTTGCTTGTTTTAAAACCAGCAATAACTTTGATTAAAGGAGTACAGGGAGGCACAAGAGGGTGCCAAAGTTGGTCATTTTTCCGAATATCCTCCGTTTTGTTGGAATTTTGCCAAATTTTAGTTACTTTTCTCTTTGGGAAACATAGAGCACGAGCTTGCCTATTTGAGACTTTTATACACAAGAAGAATTTGGCGCTAGTGCATGAAATATATAAAGAACAAGGTTCACATAGGGCCTTTTTTGGCCCTGTGAATTTCAGAAAAACTGAAACTGCTTGGTTTTAGTTGACAATGCATTAAATATCATTTAGACCTTTGATGACGGCATATCTATCAAAAATGACTTAATTTTCTGGCTAGGTAATGCATTATGACGTCATGAAATGCGTCATTTTCCTCATTTCCTGAAAATTCTACAAAAACAGCAAATTTTTAAAACTATTTTTCGATATTTAATATAGAGTGCAACCTCTGACCTAAAATATGCAACTATTAAATGATAGAACTATTTCTAAGGATTACAAAACATGCTTATTTTTTTTTTAGATCAGAGGGTGCGCTCATATTATTTCTCTTCTGTGAAAGTACTCAAATATACTTGTTTTCCTTAAAATTCAAGAACACTGCTATTCCATGAAGCCTGTTTTCCAAGACCTTGGCTTTAAGGAGAAAATTTTTAATAGGAAATGAAAGCATTAAGTCTCTGCTTAATCTTGATGTTCACAATGGAACATAAAGTGTTAGTCAATAAATTGGTATATCTACAGGGCCATTTTATGCATAAAGTGAACCTAGCTCTTTGATAGATCTGCAAGCCTGTGCTCTGTGTTTTCTTAAACAGAATATGCTATAAAATTGATGAAAATTTGCATAAAAATGAGAAAATGCGGAAATACATGTATTTTGTGACCTTCCTGAGACCTTTGTGCACCCAATAACTAAAAATCAATACTCATTATTTTTGAAAGAGGATGACAAAAGCTTAGTAATGATATATGAACTATGGTATCGCTTTTGGAGACACCACCAATCAGAGGCCACAATGGGTCTTAGCCTGTCTTGTCCTTTATTAGTAACTTGACTGGTTTATGAAATTATTCGAGGAAGAACATTTTCTTGCGTATCGAATCAACTGGAAGACATAAACTAGATATGCAGGTGATAACGGTATACATGTACTGCTAAATAAATAAGGGAAGTTGACGACAGAAAGTTGTAGTCATCACGTTTATCGTGAAATTTTGAAATTAATTTGCCAGTATTGTCTTTTTTAGTAAAATATCCGAAGTTTAACGAAAACGGATGTACCACGATTGATGTATTTAAAGGAGAGGATTCTCACGATATTGAGCAAAAAAAAAAAAAAAAAAAAAAAAAAAAAACAACCTATGTCCAGAATAGTTTCAATCTTGTGATATCAAAGATATTTTCCTTAGTATCACCAGTTTACTAAGATTGGTATCTTTCAAACAAAGGGTTTCTCATTATCTTGAGCGGACTACTTTTTGTCAACCGATCGAACGACAATCCAACTGACCGACCAACAGGTGCAAACAAATATGTCCCTCTTTTTTTCTTAAAGAGGAGCATAATAAGCATATTGAAAGTTTCATTAGGTTTAATAGTTATGAGTTGGCAATACACCTGTTAACCATACTTTACATTATTCACCCAAGAAATAAATTTAAGGTTTTAATGGTTTTTGTTCTGCTCCAAATTACGAACTTTTGAGATGGATTACTGTTCCTTTTCTTCATATTTCATTGAGTACACTTAAAAAAAATAAAGTAATTGTCGGAAAATATTAAAATAATAAACAAACGTCATTTTTAAACCTACGGTAAATAAAAAAGCTAGTGGGCTACACGAGTTACATTGCTAATAATGCCAAATATACCTAAACCAAAATCTTTATATTGAATTTCAGTTAGTTTAATGGACATGATTTGCAAAGTTACCTATATTTTCTAGAGAAAAATTGTACAATAGGTTTACAAAATAGTTAAAATGTTCATATCTTTCATAGAAGACTATGTGGGCTTATTTTAACAATGAAAAGCTGTGATTAACAGGAATGTTAAATGTGCTTTCGGCTATATAGAAAAAAACCGTGATGTAAAAGAATAAAAAAAAAGCAAAGGCATACCAACCTTCAAAAAGACATGCATCATAGATTTTGGAGGCAATATCTATATCCTGAATGGTTGCGTCTATATAATTGAGCGTTTCTAATTCTCTTGGCATTTCTATTCTCTCAAGTAAAACAGGTATCATGGTATTTTCACATTGTTTGTGGGAAGCCGTGATCCCGTAAGAAATTTCTCGTTTACATGTTTCATTTTCCTTGAACCTGCTGGAAATAAGGTAGACAATCTTCATGCTGTTTTCTATACCATTAAGAATATTATCCATACTTGTCACCCCCGGAACAAAGTCTCTGATATGATACAAACACCTCAATTTGTAATGATCCTCAAGGTTCTTCAATAAGGAATGTGCAGTTTCTTCGTCTTCATGGCAAAACGACAAGAAAATATGATAGCTTTTTCCGTAAGGAAGCGGGATTTGTGTAACCTCCATTTTGCCACGAAGAACAAATTGAATATTAAACACTGACTTTAAAAAAGAAACCAAGAACAAAAATTGGAATGGATATTTTTAGAAACATATGACTAAAATCAATACTTTAAATACTTAGAACCTAAAAAGAAACTAGACAGGGTAGATATATTTGTGTAAAGGCCACAAGTGTTAAAAGTATTAATTTTTAATATCATGGAGTCGCGACATTTATTTGGAGTACTATGTTGTTTAAATTTCGCTTTTCTAACAGTAAGTTATTTCAATTTATTTAGATATTTCTTGACAAATACTACCTCGTATCTGTCTTTAAGGATTTTGATGAAAAATTTGTTCATAATTATAGTTTGTAACCAGAAACATATAGCAATATAGTTTCTAAGTGTCTTGGTTGCCATGACATAAGATAGAATAAAAATGTAAAAAAAATAGGATCTCTCGCTGTATTGAATCTTTATGAAACTGTAACAAAGTTTACGAAAATCAAAATTAATTGAGAGAGAGAGAAAAAATATTAAAATTTATTGATATTGGTTTTAAGATGTTTGAAATGCACAACTTTATTTTATCTCTTTAATATTCCTTGCATGGTTTAAAAAGATTGTGTGAAGGAGATTGTGAACAAATTTTATTCCTTAGGTTTTTCATTTTAAAAATAAATATGTGTGTGTGTGTGTGTGTGTTATAAGTACAGTATGATGCAGTGTGTATTCATATAAAATGGCGGCTTGTTTACAATTCGCGTTTTTACCTACATATTAACAGATGAATAAAGTAGTTTAGTAATAGAACTGGAATTTCGGTAGTTATTTATAACATTGATTAATCATGTGACATTTCATGTGTCACGTGATTTTGTTGTCGTCTGCTTCGTAAACAAAAATGAATCAGCGAAAGCAAGATTAGGCGCAAAAAGAAGGAGTTGAGCAACGAGGTAAAAGAAATCGCTTGGTAGCTTCAACAAGAAGGGAAAACTAGCAGCTACCTATCAGAAACATTGGATGTGTCCAGAAAGTTTTAAGAAGCGTGTAGAACGTCGAGGTTCCATTGAAAACATCCCGAGACGAGACAGAAAACCTATCGTGACAGACCGAGACTATCGTAAGCTTAAAAGGCCTGTAAAGATGCAAAGAGAGTTTACAGATATAACGGACAAATTTAATTAAAATAAAGAACGGCCAATATCTAAACAAACTGCTCAATTACATTTATACAAACATGGATTCATGAGACGGGTTGCTAGGGGGAAAAGTTATTCGAGAGTTTAACCAAAGAAAGCGCTTTTCTTGGTGTCGATTTTTACGTTTATATTTGGAGAAGCCGGAACAAGGGTTGGAGGCCGGATTTGATAAAGGCACGGAAGACCAAACCATGTTTCCATGTTATGATAATGGGATGTATCACCTTGCTTGGATCGGAGTTGGCACTATTTCTAAAATGGATGAGAATATAATTAATGCTGATAAATAAAAGAAAATCTTAGACGACAATTTTTGGCCAGTTTTAGTCCGTCATTTCCAACTGGAAATTATATTTTCCGAGACGACAATGCATCTGTACACTGAGTATGTTCAACCCAGGATTATTTGCGCAGAAACGGCATTAGAACAATGAGCTGGCCGGCCTAGAATCCTGACATCAACATTATTGAAAATCTGCGCCTCTTTATAAAAAGAGAGGTTCAAGGAAAGGTAGGGAGAATTGAGAATAAGGATGATCTCTTTCGTGAAATCCAGCGCATCTGGACCGACATATCACCGGAGCATGTCAAAAGCCTTTATAGGACCATTTCGAGACGGTTACTAAGTGTAATGGGCTGAAAGAGTCACCTTACAAAGTACTAGGTAAATTTATTCAATTTCTGAAATAAAGTATTCACATTACAATGTTGACCTACTTTCATCTGCGAATGTAAACACGCCGCCATTTGGTACCAATATATTGCATCATACTGTCTCTACATGCAAACCCCAAGAGAATTATTTGCACCGTTGAAGTCCAAAAAGTGGCCTTAAATTACGTTTTGAGACTCCTCAGAAAAACATGGGTCGGCTTTAACCAGGCTTCAGCAATTTCTTTTGTGGTATATCAATATTAATAATTAGACCATGTTCAAAAGGATGATTAATTGTTATGAAAAAGGAACACATCTCAGGTCTCATAGACAAAGACCATATCATTGTCATCCTGCTTCAGCCATAGATGTTATATGCCAAATTTGGCTGAAATTGATAAATTGGTTTTCCAGTAGAAGTTGAAAATCTATGCACTTCATACAAAGTGTTTCATACTGTTTGCAAATATAACGTTTTGCTTTGTTATAATTTAACCGATTTGCTTCATACAATTTGTTAGCTATAGGTCATCGTTTTAATACTTGTTTTCAGTCATGGTGGATGTGACCCTTCAATCGGGAGTGAGGGTATGCTTACTCCTCCTTGGCACCTGCTCCCACGTCTTGTATTTTAGGGGTCCGTGTTTTTGTTCACGATTCTTATTTTTTACATGATTTAGATCAATCACTATTTGTCTTTTTTCACCGTTTCAATCATATTTATTGTCTATATTTCTTCTAGGTAATATTTCATCGTCAGTAGCAGTTTAAACCTGTTAGTGAAAATATTATGCACTCTTAATTCTTGTCAAAGTTTAAAATACTCCTCTTATATACATTATTATTATTATTTTTATAGATTTTTGGAACGACTGTATGTCAATATCCAAAAGGATTTTACAAAGGAATGTGTGTCTTATGTCCCGCTAATACCTTATATAAAGGCGGGGTATCTAGGTATCCACAGAACGTTTTTTGTGTTGAAAGATGCTCTGGCTTGACACCTTTAATATCCGGAAGAATATGTACAGAAAGATGCGGGGAAGGTATAGAGGACCATCAAAGAGGTGACGTAAGATACTGCCGAGACAAACATTTAAACAAAGGTTTTTGTCCTCAAAGTAATTGTCCATTCACTAGCGTATGCTATTTCATGAAGTGTTTCCAGCAATGTCCGACCTTCACTGTCCAATATAACAATAGCTGCTTGATTGAGTGTCTTAAAGACCGTCCGCTCGTTTATAATGGCAGCTGTGTCAAAGAATGTCCTTCGGAGTCAAAAATAATTGAAAATGGACATTGTTTAACGAAATGTTCTAAAGATCGGTATTTATCAGGAAATCTCTGTGTAAGTAGTTGTTCTGAGAACCAATATATTGAAGAAAACAAATGCGTTTCTAATTGTTCTATATTTACAAAAATTGAAGGACGCTACTGTTTATACAACTGTACACAAAATCGATATGTTTCTGGAAATACGTGCGTTTCACATTGTCCCATGGGTCAGTATACTTATGGAAAACAATGTGTCGTATCATGTCCCAACAACACAGTTGTTGAAGAAAATAAATGCCTTACAAAATGTTCTAAAGGTCGCTTTTTGTATGACACAATTTGCTTAAAAAATTGCCCATATGGTTACTTTATAAACCAAACCGAGAAATCTTGTATCGCAGAATGCGTCAGTGGATATATATTTCAAAACGAAGACTCCCTTTTTTGTTTGCAATCTTGCCCCTTCTTAACTGTTCAAACTAATACCACTTGTGAAAGGGAATGTCCAATGGATGAACCTTTTTATGATGACGGATTCTGTCTTCAAAAATGTCCAAACTCCTTAAAATTTATATCAAGAGAAACATCCCCTTTTAATGCTTTACTGTACAAATGTGTGTCGTCATGTTCAAAGTATGTTTCCCTCAATAATCTTTGTGTTGATATGTGTCAGACAAATGAGGTGTTATATGCAAATGCATGCCTTCTTCAATGTCCAAAATCCGATCCATTTCATGTCCATTTACCGGTCAAGGATAGAGGAAAAGTCAATATCACATCATCTTACGAAATACAACAACCGATTTCTGCTTTTGTGGTATGTGCATCTAAATGTCCACATAATTTTGTCATGGACTCTGGCGAATGTTATGCTGATTGCTTCAATTCCAGCAGAAAAATGATACATAATTCATCATGTTTTGAAAAATGTCCAACTGATCATCCATATATGACCAAAACTGGAAGCAATTTTCTGTGCTCATCTTTTTGTATTCACCGCCGCTTTCACCTGGATTGTGTCGAAAATTGTCCTAGTTCGGACACATCAGTTAATGAAGGTGAATGTGTTAATTGCACAGAAATAGGAATGTTTGAGCAAGGAGAAGAATGTGTCAATAAATGTTCAAAATTTATGTATGAAAATAAATGTTACGATTCTTGTCCATCTATCGCACAATTTACGTTTAATAATACCTGCTTCAGGACCTGTCCTGATAATGTTAGCTTGGTTGACGAACAACATTATAGCAATGATGCACTTTTTGTCTGCGTGGAAAATTGCCCTGGGTTTAAATACGTACTGGGTAACCAGTGTGTCTTGAAATGTCCTTCATATAAACAATATCATATCGAAGGTAAATGCATATCCTGCCAAGACATTGGTAAATTTGATGACGGAAAAAAATGCGCTGATGTTTGTCCAGAGATTGGGTACAACTTTCGTTGTATTAAACAGTGTCCGTATGGCACAAAATTGTACAATAAATCTTGTGTAATGACCTGTCCAAGTGATATGCCAGTTCAGCTACATGATTGGAAGAAGGGATATTACTGTGAAATTAAATGTCCGTCAGGAATGTTTTTGTTTGATACCTACTGCACATATAATTGCTATGGCAGATATTCACGAAATTATGTATACAATGACACGTGCGTAGATAAATGCCCTTCACAAGCTTCTTATTTAAAGAGCTTCAGAAAGTACAGCAGACTACTCTATCATTGTGTAGAAGATTGTGAACAAGGACAAGTTAAACTTAACAAAAACTGTTACAATTCATGTCCAGAAAATTATCATGTATTTGATGGAAACTGTGTCTTGAAATGTCCACGAGAAGTTCCATTCATTTACAGAGGACACTGTGTGAAGAACTGTTCTCATTACAAACTAGGATTCAACTGCTATGATGATTGTCCACCTCACTTGTATCGCGATAATGGTACATGCTTGGTGACGTGTCCCGTTCATCGTCCATACGATTATCACAGAAACTGCACAGAGAATTGTAAAATTAATACATATAAAATGGACGGAAGCTGTATCGATGATTGTCCACCTCACTTGTATCGTGATAATGGTACATGCTTGGTGACGTGTCCCGTTCATCAGCCATACGATTATCACAGAAACTGCACAGAGAATTGTAAAATTAATACATATAAAATGGACAGAAGCTGTATCGATGATTGTCCACTTCACTTGTATCGTGATAATGGTACATGCTTGGTGACGTGTCCCGTTCATCGTCCATACGATTATGAAAGAGACTGTTTAGAAAGCTGTAAAAACAACACTTATGAAGCAGACAAAAGCTGTTATGATACTTGTCCTCCCGGGTCATTTGGATACAGAGACAAATGTCTGCCTAAATGCCCGACAGAGGCTAAGTTTGAGTACTTAGGATTATGCAAAGAGAGATGTCCAAACACGACAATATCTTTTAATAATACCTGCATTAGCAGGTGCCCCAAAAATAAAGTTGAATTCCAGCGACGATGTATCGATGAATGTCCGGAATTAGCCTCCTTCAACAATGAAGGAAGTTGTGTCAGTTCATGTCCAAATGTCAAACTCGGAAAAAAATGCTATGAAGATTGTCCCAATAAAATGAATGCATATGAAAAAGAATGCGTAGAAAAATGTCCAAAACATGCAGACTTTATAAATAAAAAGAACTGTGTTAAACGATGTCCATCGTATCACATATACCTTAACTGTGTAAATAAGTGTCCGGAAAATACATATCCCCATGGCATGCAATGTAAATCTGATTGTCCTAAAGAAGCGCCTTTTAAAAAAATTGGCCTTTTTGAAAGGAATGGGGACTGTTTGTCATCTTGTGGGGATTACTATTTAGCAGCAGAAAATATGACTTGTATGCGTAAAAGTGAATGCAAGGAATATATTGACGATATCTGGTGTAGAAAAAAATGTCCATTGCATACATATCTTTTGTACTTCGAAGATCAAAAGTACTGCAAATCATTACATCCTGTTTACGTTTGGTCAGGGATTTTCTTCATCATTATTGCTGCAGATGTTGCCTTTGGAATTAGACTCCTGATTTACGGACGGAGAATATTAAAGGTACACATTAATTTTTAATATTGAAAGGAAAAACTTACAATGTACAAGTTGACATTGGTAAATAGTAGGAAAATAACCAAACTAAGGTTGCCAACTCAGTCTGAAATACAAAAGCAAATGTATTACACTTCATGACCTTTTTAAATATAATGGAATTATGGTATATATTGATTTGATATGATTACAATAAATAGGAGAAAATATATTCATGTATATAAAGTCATCCTGGTTTATTCAGTAACATATGGTACAGTTTATAACATAACATTACATATTTATGAGATAGCATTATATATTTCAGGAAAACGAAAACGAGAAAAAAGAAGAATTAGAAGTTGGTGAAATCAATGTCGTAATTGATGATAATGACGATAATTAACATTTCTGACGATGGATCTATATTTAGGATTCGAAATAAATGTGTACAGGGGGTGTTAAAATTGAGCCTTTTGTATAAGGTTGTTCAATTAAGATGTTTATGTCGACTGAATATGCATTTAGTAGGATTTCTATAATCTTGACATTTTATTCATAGTACAACTGATTTTAAAATATTTATTGCCACTTATCAAATCATTCCGCGTTTGAAAACAGATAGAAGTAAGCCAAATGGGAACTATCTGTATCTTAATGAAAAAGGTGAAGTGATCGATCTACAAAAATTTAAAAACAATACAAATCTGTGAAGTTTACGAATAAATTCTGCTTCATAGGAAAAAAGGCCAGCTAATAAAGGAGCACAATTAATGCCAATCGAAATTCCAACAGATTGTTGGAAGACCTGGTCTCCAAAGACTACATATATGTTTATGTTGTCAATGAGGAACTCCAACATCTTTTTAATATCAACTTCAGGGTAACTGTGTGTAGAATCAGAGTGATTTTAACAAAGTTATTTTGTTGATGACCAGACACAAGCTATGCAAAAATTCCGAGTTCTCTTTTTATTGAAGAAGCAGTTGTCTATGATATCAAAAATCCTAGTTTGTAATGTACCGTGAGGAATGGTTGTATAAAGAGTAGGTAGAAAAGTCATATGTTTTAATGTTACTATCTTTCGAAAAAATTTTGATTTTTAAATTTTCTACAAATTCTTTAAGTTGAAAGAAGAGGAAGAGGAAGAACTCATAAGAGAATTTTGTTTTAGATGTTCAATATCTACACAATGAGTATTTTTTAAAAATTTTCTTATCGTTGCTGAACTAAAACATGCTCCCCTTCTTGTATTGATCTATATTTTACATTTCTACTCCTTTCAGCATATTTTCTTTCTTCTTTAAGAAAATTTAAAATCAATTTTTTTTCTCTATTATAAAATCAATAACATCAAAACGTACGACTTTTCAACACTTTATAGAACCATACCCCATGATAAATTGAAGTCCAGGCTTTTTGATATCATAGACAACTGCTTTTTCAATAAAAATGGAACTTGTCAATATATACTTACCTTGTACATGTCACTGGTCATTTGCAAAATTATTTTGTTAAAAAGCATTCTGATTATACACACAAGTACTCTGAAGTTGATGTTAAAAAGATGCTTGAGTTTCTGATTGAAAATATCTAATATGTAGTTTTTGGAGATAAGGTCTTCCAACAATCTGTTGGAATTCCCATTGGTACCAATCGCGCCCCGTTATTAGCAGACCTATTTTTGTATTCATATGAAGCAGAATTTATTCAAAAACTTCTACAGAGAAAGAGAAGAAGAAAACACTTGCTGTGACCTTCAACTCGACATTTCGATATATCGACGACGTATTATCAATTAAGAATAGTTACTTCGACTCGATATATCCAAGTGAGCTTGAAATAAAAGATACCACACAGTCTGACACATCTGTTTCATATCTAGATATTTTACTAGAAAAGGGTAAAATGGTAACCTTACAACGAAGCTTTATGATAAACGTGATGACTTCAACTTTTAAATCGTCAACTTCCCTAACTTACGAGGGCTGTTCGTAAAGTTCGTGGACAACATTCATAATTACTGACAAACATTGATAAAATATATGAAACTATTATTTTCATTAAATTCGTGTTTCAGTTTATTAATATGCAAGTTTTAATCACAAACAAGGCACAAATTGTTATATTCTATCAGATACAAAAATGATACACACTCATACCCGGAGCACTAAAACGAAAATCCTTGACGTTACTCGACGCCAAAAGCTAAATACATTTAAGTTTTCTCAACGTAGTCACCGTTTAACTCAACAAATTTCTTATATGTCGCTTCAACCAGTCATCAAAAATGTGCACAAACTGTTCTGGTTTCATACGTAAAATACTATTTAACACTTCCTGTCTCATATCCTGCAAATCATCAAACCTCTGTCCGCGTAAAACGACTGTATGTACGGAAAAACGGCAAAGTCACGTTACGAACTTCATTTTTTACAGCACTACAATCTCGGAAAGATGGTCTTCCTTCACGCATGTCATCCAGTAAACTATCCCTTCCGTCCGAAAATCTTCTGTGCCACTTAAACACTAAAGAATAGATTACTTTGCTATTATTTCCCGACTGTTTAAGGAATTTATGGGTCTCTGTAGGTGTTTTTCCGATGTCTACACAAAATTTTATCACTACACTCTGCTGCACCTTTTCCGAAAACGTCCCTTTTTCGAACAATGACGACCCTGTTTTAATAAGCTCTGACCTCGATTTCTCTGCCATTTCGAAACTTTGAACGTTCAAATTTTACAGGTTTGACGTTATAACTTTTGTCAACCTCATAATGTAAAAGCCATCCAAATTTCCGCGGAATTTTACAAAATACAAATGAAATGTATAAAGTGATAAATAACTTTTTCATTAAAACTTTGTTGTGCTCCGGGTCACTATCCCAAGTCTAACAATGAAGTCATTATTGTAATTATACACTTAAAATTGAATAAAAATTTTCAATTTGTATTTCACATATAGTAAAGGATTATAAATATGCTAATAATGAATATCTATGACGCAACTTTTATTTAAATTTTAGCTTGTCCTGGGACTTTACGGACATCCCTCGCGATCGTATGTAGAAAATCACCTGCATATGGGGTTTATGTCTCTCAGTTGATTCGATACGCAAGAGCATGCTCTACGTATAAACAATTTCTTAAACGAGGCAAGCTATTGACATACAAGTTGATGAAACAAGGATATCAACAGTCTCGCTTGAAGTCATCATTTTGCAAGTTTTATGGTCGATACAATGACCTTGTCAGTACATACAACCTATCATTGAGTCAAATGCTGACTGATGTTTTTCATACTAATTGTTAGGCCATTATTTATACACGGAACTGTCTACGGATTTTCTCTGTTTTTTCTGAAAATGACAAGGAGCACACGGCGGGTGTGACCGGTCGGCAGGGGATACTCACTCCTCCATAGCACCTGATCCCACCTCTAAATTTTGAGGTCCGTGTTTGCTCTGCTCCAATTTTGTATCGTTTCATTGGACTTTCGAGATTAATTAAAATACTGTTCGTTATCTTCTTATTTCATTGCAACCAGTCTTCGACTCTAAGATGTCATAATTATCTTTTCAGGCATAATAGGAATCTAGTTTGGTTTTAACTGGGTATTTTAGGTGCTACTCCAGTCGCTCTGTGTGGTGTTCTTCTGTACCCTGCCATTTTGGTGGCTCCTTTCCTCAATAATTTCCGTTTGCATGTGAGTCACAATTAGCTTTCAATAGTGTTTTAAAATTATTCACCATTCTACCTCCATATTAGCTTACAACCCCTTTTTGGATTGTTATGACTGACATGTTCCTCATCAATTGTTATGCCATCATTTTTATACCGATGTGAATTCGGACTCTACCTGAGCAATGCACAAGAGTCACAGCGGGTGTGAAAGGTCGACAGGGGATGCTTACTCCTCTTATGCACATGATCCCACCTCTGGTCTACCCAGGGATGTCTGTGATTTTTCTTGTTCACAATGTATTCTTTACTATTTTATGATTGATCACTTTTACCTTAAAATTCAACATTTGCATCAAATTGATGTTTAATGCATGATCCCGTTTTCCTTCAGAGAGATCCTTCAGTGAAATTCTGTAAAGCAGCACTGTGATCCCTTTCGCTTTTTAGAGTGTCTGGAAAGTCATATCTTGTCTGTCTTCGCGGTAATCTTGGTCATGCCCGTGTTTAAAAAAAAATTAAATCGTTTCAAAAAAATGGTTTAATTTGTCAACGGATACCAAAAGTTGTAAAAGGCTCCAGCAGATCAACTGCTCTTGCTTGCCGTTGGTATTAATCTGGAAACACTTTGTGATAGAATGGGTCTGGCGGGGGAGAAAGTAAATTGTTCACCTGAAAGCTCAGAAGCAGATGGACGAAACATTTTAAGTCCCAACTCTATTTTTGTCCAATTTAGAAAAAAAAAATATAAAATATACTCATGCGTTGACGCCTGAAATTACATATTTTCCCCCTATAATGTTGCATTTCATCTAATCAGAGGACTAGGAATAATTCAATCATCTAAAAATATTCCTGTCTTTCGGATAAAACCTTGTGAATAGAGGTGTCGTGTTGCGGTATAATTTCCTCACCGACCATGAGTGCCGATTACTGGTCTAAATTTTCAACCTTCCACAAGAACCCAATATAAATTTGAAAAATTCTCTAAGGGAGCATATAAATCAAGCAAATAAACAAACAAAATATTTTTATTTTTTACATTTTACACAAAAATATATCAAATATAGTCTTAATTGCTATGATTGAATATGCTTATTTTTGTTGTCAGGGAAATCTGACGTCTCTCTTCAGAAGACGATAATTAAGATTAATAAATAAATAAATAGATAAATGAATAAATAAATAGACAGATAAATAAATAAATAAATAAATAAAAGAGAGGGTTTCCTAAACGATTTTGTATCATTTGATTATCAAATCATGAAATGAATGAATTCATATTGTGTTTGGTCAGCAATCTCAGCTTAGTATAATCACATTGCTCTTCGGGCTCAGTGAATACTATAGTACTGTATACTCTACTACTCCTCTGATTACGGTTTAGGCACCAGCACTGGGCTAAATTGGTCAAATCCATTTTCCTTCAATATTATTGCAATAATTGCAGTGTAAGATTGGTTATCGCCGAAGATCTACTTTCCTCGATTTTTATCAGCATACTATTTTTTAAACATTGGGTTCGAAATGCAGAAAATATGGAACAAAGAGATAAACACGGCAGACGAAATATTCAAGAGATCAGATGGAAAATTCAACGTTTCTTCGTAAGTTTACAATGTAGGCATTCTTAATGACCATAAATGAATATGTCACAGCTAGATTAAGAAGACCCTGTTTCTTTTTTACGATACAAAACGGGGAAAATGTTTTACCAGGTTATTGTCCATAGACCCATCAGGGGCGTAGCTTCCATTGTGGCAATGAGGCAACTGCCTCACTAGATTTTTAACCACCAACACTCCCTCCCATATATAGTTAATAATACATTGCAGAAAATATCTTGTAAAAATTATAATTTAAGCAATTCTATAATGTACGTTCATACCAACAAGGTTTGGGCTCTACCTCCATTACTGAAAACTCCAAGTAGGCAATGATTGGAAAAAATTAAAAACTGATAAATGTTTGACAATTATTAGTTTTGACGATATAAAAACAAAATTAAAAAAAAATGTATTCATTTTAAAATGTGTTAGTTTTAGAAAACATATTTATTAACTCTTTAACCATCGTCGAAAACCTGTGGTGGTCTAGCTTCTCTTGCTTCGTGGGTTTCTGACGATGCTCTTTTAGATATTTTAATAATATGTGGTATCATATCCACGCTATGAAACTGGTAAAATTAACTATACTTATGTGCAGGAGAAGTCTGATAAAACACCCAAATCCATATTCTGTCCGGAGGGGTGTGTGGTGCCCCCCTCTACCCCCCACCCCCCACCCACCACCACCATGGCGCTGCCCTGACCTACTTGGGGCCTTAGGTGGCCCCATACCTCCTGACGCTATGGTTTTGCCTCACTAGAATTTTAAGCCAAGCTACGCCCCTGCCCATACAGTGCTAACTGGACTTCTAATGTGACAGAAATTATATGGAGTTGTAGCGTAACTGAGCTGTCTGGTGCTTGGTCATTGTCTTGCCAACACTTATAAAACTGGAAAGAGTAACCTGGTTGATTTCCCTATTAATAAGCCTTGAGTGCCCTTGACACACATTTAACTTGATAAAATTAAAAAAGAAAAAAAAAAGAAAGAAAGTTCAATTATCGTTTCCTAATTTTTAATTTTCTTGGTGTCTTTATTTATATCTATCATGACATAGAGACTCCCCCCCCCCCCCCCCCCCCAGACAACTCGCCACTAGTCTTCATGCTCCACCAAATGTTTATTTTTTAATATGTATTCTGGTTTTATTTGTTTTGTTTTTTAATTCTTTATTCTCTCAAAACCGGATCACTGGTACAAGAGATACATATTTACAAACACAAATAACAGACTAGTTATTGAAAATTTTTTATTTTTTTTCACGAATATTATATGTTGTACAGATGTATAGCACCATTCTCTATCCAGAGTTGTCTTCCGCTCGCTCACAATGTGGGAGCGTAGCGGGAACGACAACTCTGGATAGAGAATGGTATAGCACCGGTCTTAACTATTTTACTTTATTATTAAGAGGGCTGGGTGGTTGTGGCCATTTTTAGACTATATTGATCTCCTTTAAAAGAAGAGCTCCATATAAAGATATACAAAAATGATCAGATTTTAAAACTAAAATTTATGAAATTTTTCTTTGCCAAATGATAGTTGACAGTTTAAGATATCATATCTAAAAACTTAAGTTATATCTGATGGTTAATTTGTTGACCCCCCAGCCTCCTTAAAATGAAACTTCAAACGGCGATAAGCACGATTTTTTTTGGTATACTGGTATATCGCAATTTTTTATTACGTGATACGTATAATAATAAATGTTGGAATAATAAATTTTGTTGTTTAATCTTTTGCATTACAATTACAGGATGTGTAAACAAATGTTGTAAAACAGTAAAACATGCCTTATCAATATATTGATAAAAATGAAAAGGTGAAGACATGTTTTCACAACTTATTTATAAGAAAAATTGTGTTCAAACATATCATGATATTATCGTGATATTTCTGGAAGAAATCGTGATATGTCGTGATATAAAAATTTTGGCGATACCCATCCCTAATATTTAACATGTTATAATAAAAATATTTGGCATCAGAATCGTTACCGAAACACGAAACATGATAAAAAACATTTACTATGCAAACTGTAGATTAATACTCAAAAGGATGATTAGCCTATCCAAACTCCGAATTTCCGGCGAATACATGTACATGCGTGTACAAGCAACTTTCAAGAATAGTACTTGAGGACAGCATATATTCAGAAAAAAAAAAAATAAATAATGATTTCAAAAACTTTAAATTATTCCAAGGGAAACCTTTAAAAGGAAGTCAAAATAGGTCGGAACAGTCGGCATCATTTTCAATGTTCAATCATCTGGTCATCCCTGTATCTTCATACGTATTTCGTATGTATTATGAGAAATATTTATGATTTCATTTTTGATGAAATAATTCTTAAAATTGCACAAGGATGTACTAAATTTTTGTTGTTATTTTGACTTCGTAAGATATTGAAGTTGTGCAAGAGGTAGAAGAAAAAGTCAGCCTACTTCATAAGAAAACTATATAAATTGCAAAATTTTTGCTTGAAAAGAAATATGATTTACGTAAATTGTTTTGAGACAGAAATACATTAGCACATAGACATTAATCGTAAGACGTATAAAAATGTTTGAAAAAAGAATGAATGAGAGGTATCTTTACATCGGGATGAGTTGTCTTAAAGAAGAGGGCGCTTTTGATTGGCATTCGGCAGGAATCCGGGCGCACTTGAAAAGTGAAAATTTTATTGATCTGTAACGTGATATTTTAACATTCATTTGATGTCTGGGGTTCTTTGAAGAAAGAAAATATTTTTCCGACATTGTGTCTTGATTAATTTTGCTAAGATGTGTTTTAAAATATGGCTAGATAATTAATTTGGTACAAAATTTGACAGTTTGTACACATGTCTTCTATAAATTTGGTATCTTTGGGTCAACTCTCCACGATTTTAAAACGTATATAATAGTTATTTATGTATATTTTAACTCAAAGAAAGAAAATGGAGAGAAGAACCAGAAAGCATAAAAAATGCTTTATTGTCATTTTAAAACCCACAATGAATATGTGGCGACGATAGCTTAGGGGTAAGCGTTACATGTCCGTATCAGATGAATGTTTGGTTCGAACATTGCATGGAGCGTTTTTTATTTTTTTTTAACAAACAATCATGTCGTTTTCAGTTTGATTTTATTTACTAATTTTTTCAAATTTTAAGACTGTTGTTGCACGGAAAGCAAAAGCAATTCTTCCATGCGCGGATCTAGAGGGGGGGGGGGTCCGGACCCTCCCCCCCCTGGAATTTGCAAAGTCATTAAAGTATATATACTGAACAAATAAAAAAAATACTTTGGACCCCCTTCCCCCAGAAAAAGTGAACCGCGCGCCATCACCATGAAATAAATATTTTAACGTTTGGGAATGGACTTTTCAATTTACATTTGTTTTGTTTTTTGTTTTTTGCTTGTCAAGAAATTTCTGGATTGGAAATTTTTTTGACAGGGGTGGACCCCCCTCCCCCCACCCCTGGAAAAAAAATCCTGGATCCGCGCCTGAATTCTTCCCACCTACATGTACCGAAACTTTGATGTATATCCATTTAACTATTCCTAATTATCTTGTTATACTTTTATCGTAATTATAAGATCAGCAGACTTAAATATTACAATTTGATAAGGTATTTCACAATTTCAATGTAAATGTAATATTTTCCTAAGTGCGTTACTTTGCAGTCTGTCCATCTTTGGCAAGCCAACGAAATCGTCTGTTTGACATTTAAACTTTTAAACTATGAATAATGAATAACCATTCCACGCAGCAGGCACGCCCGTATTCTTGAGGGCAACAAAATGCATAGTTTTCCCCAAAATTATTTGAAAATAAATAACTTAATAATACACATTTAATGTACATATTATGTAGAATACTTTTTCAAAGCTTGACTTGATTTGAAAATTTCAATTTCATCACGACGAAACAGATGTACAGTTTAGTATGGGGGAAAAATGTTGACCAAAATATTCAAAATTGAAAATGTTTATAATTCATCTTAGGGTATTAATTATCGAACTTATAAAGAAATACTTGAACCAAAAAAATTATTGTTATCTTGCCTCTAAAATTTTCAACTTTAGATAATCAAACAATTATAAACTATTGAAACTGGGAGAAAGAATGGTATTCCTAGAGTTCTAACGACTTGTACTTGATAAAATATTTAAGTACATCACGCATTTTAGAGTTTTGTCCGTATTGTATTGATCTTACTGAATTCAAACTTATAAGAAAATCGTTCAAATAATGAAATATAAATTGTAAAAAGTTAAAGTTAACAAATCTGATATAAAATACCAGATCTTTTACTTTAGATGTGAAATGGGAAGGACCTGTACGTGGGGATAGGAAGGGATGTATCCCTCTTTCGACCCCCACCACCTTTTTTCCAATGTTTTATCCCCGTTCCTCTCCCTTTTTCTCTTCTTTAGATTAGAATTTTTTTCCTAATTGACTAGGTTATTAAAGCATTAGCTAAAAATGATTCGTCCGACCTTAAGACCAAAATACATTGGTATGTTATCCGAAGCTAAAGGATTTCTTGTAGAAAAGACAGTCCGAAACAAAATATTTAACTATTGAGTGACACGTATATAATTCATCGACATAAAATGAACAGAATAATTTCACATTGGATTATGCAGTTTGATAAAAACTAACAATGGTTCTCTTTGTAGTTTTAGTTATACTGTGGCTCTTGTGGCGAGGAGATTCATCTTTGGTAATTATAATTTTCTTTTTGTATTGCCAATGTTGAGGAAATAAAGAGTGTCTCTCAATCTATTCACAGCTTTGTTGAATTTTACCACAGGGTTCGGAAAACAAGAAACACCTGACAGCGATGGAGATGTATAATACGAGACATATTGATAAAAGCAAAAAGAAATGGGAAGGTAACTGAATAAAAAACTGATCAAGAATGTTGAGGCAGAATTTAATTTGAGAAAAAAAAAATTTGCTTCATTATTAGTTCTATTGCGATAAAAGATTTAGACCTCTATACAATTTTCGAAATTTTCGCATCTCTGCTGCCAGTTTTCATTTGAATAAATATTATTTTAAGAATGAAGTATTAAATCTACTCTTACATTACTGCAGTTAAAAAACACCATCTGTTTTGTTCATTGCAGATGTAGTTAATGTAACTGTGAAGATAGAGGAAATCGGGAAATCAAAAGTTCTGTCAGTTTATTGTCATTTGAACGAAAAGGCCAGACCATTTGTAAAGAATGTGGAAGTCTGGATAGTATGGTGGCGTGCTCAGACTGGTGAAAAATTCAAGATGATCGGAGGTACGACGGCGAGGTAGTCATCCTTTTTAAAAACTTGTAGTTTTATCGTAGTTTCCAAAAGCGTTAAACTGTTCCAAACTTAACGTTCATTTCAAATATGGACTCTTCATGTTAAGAACGCTACTATATAATATTTAAATCTGATGTAAATAATTATTTCAATTTTTATCTGTAATGTACGATGCTGCACGAAGACGAACTTGCCTGTAGTTTTTTAATGTGTAACCTTTATTCATTCAATTTGTAGGCAGCCCTTATCTTACCTATGATACCTTTCATTTCATAAAACAATCAATTATTTGCTTAGGAAGACACTATGAAATAAACTCTGCCTTCGTTTGCTAATGTTATAGAGTGTCTGGTCAGGTATAAAAATTGGTGTGTTGGGGGGAGGGAGGCATGGTTAGGCAAACAGAACCAAAAAATAGTATATTGACACAAACGTGGCAGCCGCACCCCTTCCAAACATAACTACGTCAATTTTTCTGGAATTAGGATAGGATCTTAGATAGGATCTTAGGATAAGTTGTATGCACACATAAAGAAGTACTGCAGATTGATACTTCCCCCCCCCCCCTCCCCCCTTACCCCACCCAAAGTTTTGTCATTGTTCTATTTTTCAGGTGCGAAAATTGGAGATGAAGGGGAAATTGGAAGTTATAATGTTAGATTTCAGCCCAGAAGGTATTTCCGTGACAAAGTGAAGACATATATAATGTGTGCTGTGGAGAATCAAGGCGGGCTATCAGATATTAGTGGCAGTGGTAAGTACTAAGTGTATTAATAACTCAAGTTTAAATTTTGTGATCACCATTTGAGAAATTGATGAAATCAAGAGACCTATTTACTTCAAACGATTGGGAAGATATAATAGGCGAAAGAGAATGCTAGCATTGCATTAATATGCAAACGTTTTTAATTAGCGTATTTTAGTCAATCATGATCTTCACTAGTGTATGACCTTGACATGACGATGAACCTTTGAGATATAGCCGAGTGAAGGTCATAGCACATTTAATAAGGACATGAGTTATATCATACTAGTTTTCCAAATTGATTCTGTGATAGTAAAAAGTACAGATGGGAAAAGAATCTATTATGGCAAAAATGATGCATCTGTTGCCCTCAGGGGATGGAAACTAATGCAATTGTTATGTTCAGGTCAAAATCTCCGAAAAATGGCAATTGCATGCGCACAGAAAAAGCGAATTTTTAATGGTCCAAATTCATAGTACAGCAAAACATGAATTAGGAAATATTTAATATTTTCTATATAATGTCCCATTTGTATGGTTGCAATCATTTACCACTATTTGCTTATTTCCACAGTGACTGATTGGCTGAAGATTTTCTTTATCCTGGACCAGTGTGATTCGCCGGGTCAGTTTCGCTGTCAGGCTCTAGCCAAGGTCTACAATAAGAATAAAGACCAGCCCCTGAGTGGGGAGCTCTCTGCTGACAAAGTACCAGGAGGATGGGTGGGGGAATACTGTAGGTCAATTCTTTATAAAAGCCTAGGCATGAAAATGTTTCAGTAGATAACACTTAATGCCATACATTGACAGATTTTATAACTTTTAGCACCATACATTGATAGATTTGAGAACATTTTCCGCTGTACATTGATAGATATAAGAACATTTACCGCCGTACATTGATAGATATAAGAACATTTACCGCCGTACATTGATAGATATTGCCATACATTTTACCAGATGTCTTAGGAATAAATAAAATTGCTTGATTACATTTGTAACATTCATGATGGTAAATAGAAACTGTTTGCCATTCGTTGTATACTAAGACAGAGATACTGTTTTTAGATTAAATATGAAAAGATTATACAATATATCACACTAAATTTGCAGGTGTGAATCAGAAGAGAACAAATTCTTATAAAGAAGAAGAAAGAAAATATTTACAAAATTTTGTAGGTATTGATCAGTTCATAACATCATATAAAACAACAGAGTTTTATCTGTTTTGAAGTTTGTTACAAAACCTGTTGTGCTTCCGATTTTTTCATGAAAGGACCCGTTACCAGATATCTACATGAACTCGGTCAGGGAAAGCTTTTTTTTAAAACAAGGTAAATATTTTAAAATTATTTTACAGATAAACTTTGATTTTCCTTGAATTACCTTGAAAGCTAGAACTTTAAGTTCTGTAAATTCTAAATCTGAACACTGTCCTGTTTTGCAGACTACTTCTCTAGTGACACAAACAAACTTATGACAGAAGGTATGTAGAACAGCGAGTCAGGTTTGGTGGTACGAGGTCTTGAAATCAACTATTGCTGTTTTGTGCTTTTTAAATGAATTTTCTTTTTACCAAATTCAAATGGACCAAATTCAAACAAGTTTGCCTCAAAACTAATATGTGACTAGATTAATAACGATAAACACACGATTAGGGTATCTCTAACTTAAAGGGGCTTGGACACAGATTTGAAGTTAATATTTTCTCAAATTTTCTTTAAAATGTCATGATTTATATGAAGCTAGAGCATTTTACGCCGAAATATAATAAAAACGCGTTCAGAAACTTCTTTTAGCTAGGAATTATTAAAACTACGAATTTGGGGACGCGTTTGATAGACACATATCCTTGCACTTTCACGAAGAAAACTTTATCCCAAATACTTAAGAAAAGTAGAAATTTCGTTGTGTACTAATGAAAATATTAAAACTATAATCCAGAAAATTTAGATTAGAAATGGGAGAAAGCAAATCCAACTCACCAGTATTGTAAGTCCGTGCTCAGTAATATGTGCAGAATTTAACAAATTGAACACACCCGGTGAAATGTAAACATTAACAATAGCAGAGCTCGTGCCCTGTTTATAAAAACACGTGTTTGACATGATGTAAAGAAGAATGTCGCTGTCATTAAATTCTAAGAATATTCAAGCAAGTTTAGTTCATTAAAATGGTTTTGTTCTTTGAATAAACATAAAAATTTAAAATGTAAACAATGCAAATGTGTCTAGGCCCCTTTAATAGAGTACGTAAAATTTATAAATAGATTATCAAATAATTGCATAATCAGCCTGTAGCTTTCTGATCTATATATGTAAAAATGCAAGGGCAATTTACAATGTTTCTTTTCAAAAAAGCCACAGAATATTATACCCAAAATAACTACTAAGGATTACAAACACCTTATTTTTCATAATTTCAAATTTCATTAAATTTTTGACTGAATAGAAAAATTTCCAGTTTTCAGATGTCCAAATGGATTAAATACAGTTTCACCGTCAAAACCTTTATATATATAAAATATGTGTTGACTTTTTATACAATTATCTTCAGGTAGCAACACGATTATAAATGCAACATTTAGACAAAGAGATGGTTTGAAGTATATGGACCTTAGGTGCAAGGTGGATGTGAACAAACTGGAAGTAGATGTTAGAAAGGTGTATGAGTTTTACATATTTTATGTGCCTTATCCGAAGTGGCCAAACGCACGCGTGATGCTGGCAGCCTTTGTGGCTGGGAAATCTCTGTTTGTGAAATCCTACAGAATCCGAATGTTTCCACAATTAAAAAGATTTCTTGATGTAACCAAAAAGAAATATTGGAAAGGTGAAGAAGGCCCTGGTGAGTAGTTTTTCAGTCTTCATTCATTAGATGCAGTTTTGCTACCAATATTTTTAATTATCATTGAAACTTGTATATTATGCATTTCATTAATGACATGTTTTAAAAACCATTGCTTGTAATTCGATTTTTGATGATAGACACTCTTCACTGCTTTTTCCCTTAAAGAAAATTCCTTGCAAATGTATGCAATGTTTTGCACAATTTTTAGAAGTCCTGTAAGCAGGGGTGGGGGTTGGGAGGACATGCGTTAAGCACCCATGAGCTGAAAGGATCGCCTTCTAATTAATGATTCACAGGGCTGGGATCGGTTTTCTTGTTTTTTTTTTTTGCTTTTTGTTTTGTTACAAAAATCTTATCAATTTCTGTTCCGGTTAATTACTTTAATCTTAACACATGCAGTAATTCCCTTTTTATAACTCTTCAGATGGTTAAATCATTTATATTTCTAGTCAATGCATATATTAAGTGTTTGGGATTTTAATAAAATTCAGAGAGAGAGAGAGAGAGAGAGAGAGAGAGAGAGAGAGAGAGCTGACATGAGGCTAAGACCCGCCTCCTATGAATATTGATTAGGTATTCCTAGTAGATGTCAAGTTCCAGATGGCTGCACTAAAAAAAGTTACTTCAGTTTTAGCTACTGAATGTAATCATGCATACTCAGTATATCGATTTTGAACAAATTTCAGTCGGATTCACTTCTTTTACGGCAAAGGTTAGAGCGTCTGCTCAAGAGTCTTATCCTTACGTCGCAGGTTCGAATCCACGGCGGGACGTTGAGACCAGTCCTTCGGATGAGACCGTATAAACCCGAGGTCCCCTTGTCGCAGTAGATGTTGGCACGAAAAAGATCCCTCACTGCTCAATGGCCCTGAGTGCCGAGTATAGGTATAAATTTGCAGCTCTCCAACTCTCCACCGGCAAGTGGTGGCGTCTCCATTTCAGCGAAAATTCTCGAGAGGGACGTTAAACAACAAACAAAATCTTCCTTTACGGCTTGGTAGAGGAATAGCAAAAGAGCAAAACTGAGATCTAAATTGCAGTTATTCACAGCGTAATATTTTGTACTGTAGAATAAAGACATATCATAGGCTTATATAACGTTATTCACATTTAAGCGATGAACTTATTATGCATGATTCTAAAATTCAATTTCATAACTTTACTTCATTACTTGTCATTTGGGAATATGTTACCTTAAAGCTGAACACGATTCGTAAAAGGAATGTGTCCGCCATATTCTAATGGTCTCTCGCTATATCTGAGGGCCCCTATATAAAGCTGCTCACTTAGTCACTGTTCAGCGTGTAATCAATCGCCACTGGTGTAGACGGACTTATGCTATACAGCACTCGGTAGCGACAAAAAAAAATAGCTGTGTACTTCTAATGCAGGAGAGTAAGATACCAAAGAAACTTACAACAGTTGCACAGGTCAGTACAGTATACAATCAAACACAAATACACGTTACTGCAATAAAATGTAAACAAAGGTAATGCAAGATAACCAGCACGAACACGGCTCGCCATTCCACGGCGATATCCTTGACAATAAAGCAGTCAGGTGTAACGAATGCAAAGAGTATACCCCGGTGCTGATATCGTAAAAAGTAATATCGTATGGCGTATGCCTATTTACGAGTCGTGTTCATCTTTAATTTTGAAAAAAAGAGTAGATTTTCAACTGCGAGTAGGTCCTTTTACAAGATCTACATGCAATAGATGAGAAGCCTTGCTGTATGTGAATATATTTCTGTTTCCTTCCAGGGAAATCTGCCTATTTTGAAATCTCTATCCCTCTTGATATCTGTGACACCCTGACGGGGGCCTTCCAGTGTCAGGCTAAGATCGTGGCGTCAGGCCTGTCAGAGAATAAGAAATACACAATGGTCATAGGGTGGTACCGCTTAAACAATAGACTGTTTACCACTAAAGATCAAGACTGTAAAGAAGGTAAAAGATAAAGATGTAGAAAGTTACCCACTATATTTATATATTTATCCATAACAGCACTGGTGTCCTTATATATATATATATATATATATATATATATATATATATATATATATATATATATATATATATATATATATATGTATTAAAACAATGGAAAAATCGACATGAGCTAATTTGAGTTTTATCTTTCTTGTAGATACTAAGGACACCAGTGCTGTTATGGAACCCAAGAGAGAAGAGGGAGAGAAACCTAACATTGGTTCTATCGCTGGTACTGTCTGTGGAGTGATCGCAGCGGTCCTAGCGTTTGCCGGATTTATAGCTTTAAGATTGTATGTGAATGAACAAGCTTTCTGTGATTTACTTTTGTTTTTTTAAAAAAAATAATGATTCCATGAAAACTTTTAACAGAAGATCTTAGTTACCAGATTAAAAGTAAATTAGTGTTACTAGTACCTTTCTAAAATATGACATACAAATAACTTTTTTCTTCCTTTATGTAAACTTTATGTAAATGTTTTATTGGGATTTTATTTGCAGAAAAATGATGAAGAAGGAAAAGGAAATAAGGGTAAGCAAGTACCTAATATAAAATATGAAATAAAATAGTAAATTTTTCTTTAGATGCTGCCCACCCCCCCCCCCCCCCACCCCCCCCCTTTACCCTTTTGATATCGTAAGGTCGAGCACTGGCAATTTCCGGGATTTGGACAGTTAGATAGCTTTTTTTTTTTCGCTTGGCAGATAATTGTTGGGAAGTTCCACCCCCCCTCCCCACCCACCTTTGGTCAGTTTAGGGTTGTTTTTTTTGGCTTGTCAGATTTTTTTGGGAAGTTGCCCCCCCCCCCCCCCCACACACACACACACACTATTTGTAACCTTTGCTGCGGGCCTGTGAATATGTCATCAAAGTAAAAAAAAGGAGGCATTTAAATGTCTCAACTGATAAATAACTACAATGTTAACTGAAGCTTAATTTTATAAAAAACAGGATGTGTTTTTGAAACACTGATTCCCCCGTATGGCAACTTATAGCAAAGGTTAAACTTTCTCAAATGCAAGTCAAATATGTTGGTACCCAAAGTAAGGTCCTGTCTCGAGGAATATACCTGTGAATAGGGCTGTATCAATATATCGATATATCGATACGTATCGATATTTAAGAATGTATCGTATCGAAAAAATAACTTCAATACGTATCGGATAGGCAGATTTTCTCATAATTCTTTGAAAAAGTTAGGAATTTCAATCACCAAGGGTTATATTTTTACTGTTTTGAATTAAAATTGATCAATAATGATATAATCATTAAGGAGATAGCACATCTTAGAAAAATATTACAAAATACAAAGACAACTTTATTTTAACATGTTGTTTCACAGTCATTTAAAGTTTGAATTTGAAGTGAAATTTGTAGAGACAGTGAGACAAGACCTTCGAAGTGGGTTATAAAACAATTAGTTTTTATAAAATTCATGCATTAAATGATTTAAAAGACTTTATCGATAGACTTGTTAAAGAATCCAATATATCGGATATCGCATTATAGAATATTGTATCGTATCGTACCGAATTTTTTTGCTCAATACACAGCCCTACCTGTGAAATATAAAAAAAGCCCTAGCAGCAACCATTGAAAAGATATGGAAAAGGTAAAAGTTTTTCAAAAGTAAGTCAATCATCAAGGTCAAGGTCAAATGGTCAAAATCAATGGTGCTCAAGGAAAGGCTTTCTCACAAGAAATACACATGTGAAATATGAGAGCTGTAGCACCATTTGTTCAAAAGTTATGACCAAGGTTAATGTTTTTCAAAAACAGGTCAAACTCCCAAGGTCAAGGGTAATGGATTACAATTATTGGTATCCAAAGGAAGGTCTTGTCACGAGGAATAAAAATTTAAATATGAAAGCCCTAGCACCAACTGTTCAAAAGTTATGTCAAAGGATAAACTTTTCCAAAACTAAGTCATACTCCAAGGTCTAGGTCAAAGTGTCAAAGTTGTTAGTGTACAAAGAAAGGAACTGTCACAACGATTACATATGTAAAGTTTGAAAGCCATAGCACCAACCGTTCAAAAGTTATGTCCAAGGTTAAAGTCTTCCAAAGTAGGTCAAACTCCTAGGTCAAGGTCAAAGTAACAAAATTGATGGTGTCCAAAGGAAGGTCTTGTCACATGAATTACAAATGTCAAGTATGAAAGCCCTACTATTAATTGTTCAAAAGTTATGGTCAAGGTTAAAGTTCGGTAAAATTTTGCAAAACTGGGTAAAACTCCAAAGTCAAGGTCAAAAGGTCAAATATGATGGTACCCAAAGAAAGGTCTTGTCACAAGGAATACACAAATGAAATTTGAAAGCCATAGCTCCAACCAATCAAGTGTTATTGGAAATATTAAAGTTTTTGCGGACAAAAAGACAGAAAGACGGACAGGGTACAAACTACATATATCCCCGAATCTTCTCCGAAATGGAAATCGTGCTCACACTATTTGGAGGAATAAAAGTCTATTTTTCTTTGTTTGTACTAATTGAAAACTCAGAAAAAGACTAAGTATGGACACCAAGGCACTGGTTGACTACTAAGCGATATGATACACATGTAGTTGATTGTTTTATATTATTTAATTTTTAATTGGAAGACTGCTTCTGTTGCAACCGCACTGACCACCATCTGTTATCACCAATTCATATCTAGGCAGAACGGCGCGCAATGGGAAAGTCATTTAAGAGTCTTGTGAAGACACCAAGAAATTTGTCTTTCAACAGTATTGGGAAAAATAACATATTAGATGTACTAGAGCCGATTAGGCAAATGGTCAGTTGACAAACGAGAATAACAGGTGGTGCCTTAGCAATTTTGTCTAGCTTATATACAAAAATACCTTAATCATATGGAAATGTAAAGGTTCTGGTTGTATATATAATATATAATTACTGATTCAAGACAGTGATGAAAAAATTTGATCTCAGTTTCTCAGTGTATAGATTTCCAGTTCGCAAAGACCAGTGACATGATAAAAAATAAGGACCAAATTTGATAACATATACTATTAGGTTTTTTATTGAGCCATTTTTGATAAAAGTAAAAAAATAGCCGTCTTAATTTTTTTAAATTGGTCTGTAGGCTACAAAAAAAAAAACAAAAAAAAAAAAAAAACAAAACAAAACAAAAAAAAAAAAACAAACAAAAAAAAAAACAATAGAGCAAAAATTAATTTCTGCATGCGGATAACCTCAGGCTGTAGTGTATATTCTCACTGATTCAGTCTAATAAATATTATAAATACAATAGTTTGCTTGTGTTTCTCCGATAAGTATTGTGGCTAATAGTCTATTTCACTCTGGGTGCCTATTTGGGAGAAATGGGAATTATGGTTACATGTAGCCGTGTTTCTCCATTGAGAATTTTGACTAAGAGTTTATTTTACTTAGGGCATCAATTAGGGAGAATTTTGACTAACGGTTCATTTTTTTTTGGACGTCTAGGAGGTAGAATTTTGACTAAAAGTTCATTTTACTTTGGGTGTCTAGGAGGGAAAATTTTGACTAACAGTTCATTTTACTTTGGGCGTCTAGGAGGGAGAATTGATTATGATGATTAGCTGGTTAGCTGTTTTTTCTCTGGAGAGTATAGTGGCTAACAATTCATTTTACTTTCGGTGTCTAGGAAGGAGAAGTGGGTTTGAAAGCAGGACCAGGACGTTTCAGTGGTCGAGGTCAAGGACGAGGTCGAGGGCGAGGTCAGGGACGAGGTCGCGGTCAGGGTCAAGGACGTGGACAAAGTCATGGAAGAGGAAGAGGGGAGGTGCGTTGTTTCTCTCATGAAGCTTATCTTTCTTCTTGCCATTAACAACACATAATGCCGTATTAAGACCCAGGCCATGACAAAAATCATTCAATCTCCTGCCATTCTTAAGTTTTGCTTTCTCATTATGCATGCCTTGTCAGCTAGCATGGCACAGATATTTATCTCATTCAAATGAGCAGCCAATTTTTAGGTCACATGAGTCACTCAGGTGACCTATTGCTATCCGTTTTTGTCCGTCGGCGTGCGTCGTGCGTTAACATTTGAACATTTTTAGCTTCTTCTCTGAAACCGCTTAACCAATTTCAACCAAATTTGGCATATAGCATCTATGGGTAAAGGGGAACAAAAATTGTGAATTTCATGGTCCCTGCCCTCCTGGGGCCTGAGGGAGTGGGGCTAAAACCACCAAAATTAATGCAATCTTTAAAAATCTTCTTCTTTACTCCTGGACATCAAGCAGTCAAACTGTTGGCATGATTGTAATAAGCATTGAGCCCTTTAAATTCATGGCCCCAGGGTAAGGGTTTCTGGTGCTAGGGTGGGGCTATATAGATCATATAGTGAAAGTGCATTATTTCTTTGAAAATCTTTCTTGTCTGCTCCTGGGTATTAAATAAAGTAACTAATATATAAAGTTATGATGAGCAAGAGTGCCTCTTCCAAAATTTTGAATTTCATGGCCCTAGGGTCAGGGGTTCTGGTGTTAGGGCGGGGCTCTATTGATTATATAGTGAAAATGCATTAATTCTTTAAGAATATTTTTCTCTGCTCCTGGGTATTAAATAAAGTAACTAAGTACATAGTTATGATGGGCAAGAGTGCCTCTTCCAAAATTGTGAATTTCATGGCCCCTGGGTCAGGGGTTTGGTGTTAGGGTGGGGCTCTATTGATTATGTAGTGAAATGCTTTAATTCTTTGAAAATCTTCTTCTCTGCTCATGGGTATTAAATGAAGTAACTAAGTACATAGTTATGATGAGCAAGAGTGCCTCTTCCAAACTTATGAATTTCATGGCCCCTGGGTCAGGGGTTCTGGTATTAGGACGGGGCTCTATTGATTATATAGTGAAAATAAATTAATTCATTGAAAATCTTCTCTGCTCCTGGGTATTAAAATAAACTAAGAACATAGTTATGGTAAGCGTGGCTGCCTTTTCAAAAATTGTGAATTTTATGGCCCCTGGGTCAGAGATTCAGTTGTTAGGGCAGGGCTCTATTGATTTTATAGTAAAATTGCATTAATTCTTTGAAAATCTTCTTCTCTGCTCCTGGGAATTAAAACTAACTTAGTGCATAGTTATGATGAGCATGGTTGCCTCTTCCAAATTTGTAAATTTCATGGTCCCTAGGTCAGGGGTTCTGGTGTTAGGGTGGGGCTCTATTGATATATATATAGTGAAAATACATTAATTCTTTTGAAAATCTTTTTCTCTCTCCTGGGTATTAAATAAACTAAGTACATAGTTATGATGAGCATGGCTGCCTCCGCAGAAATTGTGAATTTCATGGCCCCAGGGTCAAGGGTTCTGGTGTTAGGGCAGGGCTCTATTGATTATATAGTAAAAATGCATAAATTTATTCAAAATTTTCTTCTCTGCTCCTGGGTATTATTCAAACAAAGGAAGTGCATGGTTATGATAAGGAAGAATGCCTCTTCCAAAATTGTGAAATTCATGGCTCCTGGGTCAGGGGTTCTGGTGAAAGGGGGGGGGGGGGCTCTATTGATTATATAGTGAAAATGCATAATTTCTTTTAAATATTTTTTTCTACTACTGGTTGTAAAGCAAAGAAATAAGTGTATAGTTATGATGAGCAAGGGTGCTTCTTCCAGAATTGTGAGTTCATGGCCCCTGGGTCAGATGTTCTGGTGTAAGGGTGGGGCTTTATTTATTTAATAATATAGTGAAAATGCATTTCTTTGAAAATATTCTATGCTTGTGGGCATATTTGAGGCAAACAGAGTAATAATTTTAATATGCAAAGGTAATTTTACCAGAATTTTGAACATCTGGACCATGTAGTCAAGTGTTCTGGTCCTGGCCAGGGCACTATAGCTATTAACTTGTATTCTGCTGAGCAAAGTTATTCCCCTTTGCCATTCACCTTTGATAATTAATCACTGTAAACAATGTATTTGAAAGGTTAATAGAATACGAGAATTATGCAAGAATATTTATCATGTAATACAAAAAGTACTTTCATAGTTTTAATGATCAAGTAGACTTGGAAATAATAGATGAATAAAAATGAGACAAAAGTAACTTATCTTTTTATATGTTCTTCAAAGGCTAAGAGAGGCCAATGTGAGAAGTAATAATATGGGGTTAAAAAAATAGACATTTTGTTAATAGTCTGCATGGTAATAGTGATAAATGGGGGACAGTTAGATACTAGACCAATTATTTTGTTGATGCTAATCGTACTATTTTTCTTGCTTTTGAGCAACAAAGCTTCATTTATCAGTTTATGGATCCTCTAAATTGTTGTATTGTACTCAGGTGACCGTTAAGGCCCTTTGGCCTCTTTCTTTTTATTCATTTTTTTGTCCAAAAGTTTTCACAATTATGACAAGAATAATTCGCTTAAGTTTTATGCTACAAGTCTCGTAAGGTAAGCATTTCTTACCTTCCCTTCCAAACTGTATGGTTCCCTAACCCTCAATTGAATATTTAAATTGAAATTATTTAGAAATAACTATTTATCATTTTATTTATACGTGTTTCCAGCAATCCTCCAAAAGATATTTCAGTCTGTCTTTACTGCAATTGTCAGTGTACACGATCCAATATGGAATACCGATCCCGGTGTATTTTCATAATATTTAAATATAAGTTTGTTTGCTAACTGAATACCATACAGTTTCAAATTAAAATATCATGAACTCATAAAAATGCTAATAATCAAAACCCTGCCTCTCAAAATTCAAAAGTCATAAGTAAGATTAAACTGCTTAGGGTATGTTTTGCAAAGTAGGCCAAAGGTCAAGGTCAAGCGGATCGTAATGCTGGTATTTTTCATATTATGACAAACAGTGCACATGCTGAATAGCAAAGACTTGCCTCTTAAATGTAAAAAATATGCTGTAAATCGGCGCTATGAACTATTTGAAAAGTAGGTCAAAGGTCAAGGGTCTCGAGGTCGATAACCATGGTAATTTACAAAAGCCATAATGCCAAACAATATATCTGCAAAATATCAAATCCATGCCTAATATTATTTTCGAGATATAGGGTGTGACAGAGGGACAGCTAGACAGAGAAAGACAGACAGACACCGGGTAAAGTGATCCCTTAGTGCCGCTCTGCTCTGAGGGCGACACAAATATGTAATCACTGATCATTGAAATTTATTTTGATGTGTAGACTCTTCACATCTATTAGATTATCTCACAAAGATTTGATTTTGTTGTCTCCTACTCTAATCTATCCAATCCTATTTCAAAATAATTTGTACCAGGTATCGCCAAATTCCAAGTCTCAGAAAAATCCTCTCAGTTGCAACATTGAGTATTAAACATGTCTCTGAATACTCACTTCTATCCCTTTTTAAATGTACCTAAACATTTATTTTTGGACACAAAACTATTCTGATAAAACTCCCAACTCAGATGAATTAATTTAGTTCACGCAGATCTCTTTTAAGTATTGTTAGAAATCGGCTGATCAAAATTGAAAGAGATAATTTCGCCAGTGTGCCAGTACATTTTTCTTTGACCTACTTTTCAAAATAGTTCACAGAGTTAAACGGTATGTTTTTGAACATGTGTAAATCTGTGCTACATGTGCACTGCTGGTCTAAAGACATTATGAACAAGATATGTTTGTGAAACACTGATGCCCTCGTATGGTACTTCACTGCCAAGGTTAAAGTTTTTTTCAAAAGTAGATCAAACCCAAAGGTCAAGGTCAAAAGGTAAAAAATGTTGTAACCCCCCAAAAAGGTCAGGACACATGGAATACAAATGTGAATTACAAAAGCTCTACCTCCAACCACTCAAAATCTTTGGCAAAGGTTAAAGTTTGGCGATGTTTTGCAAAAGAAGGTCTAACTCCAAGGTCAAGGTGAAGAAGTCAAATGTTTTCGTATCTAAAGAAAAGTCTTGACACATGACATGTGATATGAAAGCCCTAGCACCAACCATTCCAATCTTATGGGCAACGTTGAAGTTTTTATAGACAGACAACCAGATTGAAAGACAAACAGACAGACGGACCAACAGACTAAAAATTTTATGTCCCGAATCTTCGATTACGGAGGAATAAAAATACCAGCCTTAGAGTAAACTTGACCTTGACCTTTGATCTACTTTTTCAAAAATACCACAAACAGGCTCAATTGAGCATTTATGATCAAAATTTGTCCGTTGTCTGTCGTTGTCGTAAACTTTTCGCATTTTCATCTCCTTCTCCAGAACCACTGGGTCCATTTTAAAAAACTTCCCACAAAGCATTCTTGGGTTAAGGGAATTAAAATTTGTTCAAAGGAACTGCCACGCCCTCTTTCAAGGGGAAATAATTAAGAATTTTTGTGAAAATTCGGTCGCATGATTTAAAAATCTTCCCAAGGACCATTGGGCAAGAAAAGATGAGACTTGCATAAAAGCTTCAATACATATTCTAAATTTTAGTTTGTTCATATCATAACCCCCGGGGGTAGGGCCTGGCCACAAGAGGGGGTCAAATTTTTAGATAGGAATATATTGGAAATGTCTTTAAAAATCCTCTTCTCAAGAACAGCAAAACCATGAAAGGTCATATTCTAATGGAAGTATCCTAAGTAAGTGTAGATTCAAGTTATTCCAATCATGACCCCTGAGGATAGGGCAGGGCCACAACAACAGAGGGTCATACTTTACCATAGGAATATATAGGAAATATCTTTAAAAATCTTCTTCTCACGAATAACTAGGCCATTATTAGTCATATCAATATAGAAGTATCCACAGGTAGTGTAAATTTAAGTTTTTTCAAATCATAACCCCTGGGGGTGGGATGGGTGGCACAGACACAACATGGGGCCAAAGTTTTATACAGGAATACATAGGAAAGAACTATATACGGTAAGGGCGTATTCCTGCCCCCATAATAGTCAAATTTTGAAAATCTCTTGAAATGAGAAAAAGTGCATATATTGTATAAAATAATCCAAATTAAGACAATATATTATGAAATTGGAAAAATTAGTTGGCTTTTCTTGTCTCTGTGACGTCACAAACTATTTGGATTTCCGTTATTTTTAAAATAGAGGCCAAAATGCACAGAGTTTGTTCAATTTTGACTATAGTATTTATAGAGCGCAAGCCTGCTCAGGTACCATATTCACATATTTCATTGATATTATCATTCTACACATTATATCAAAAGATCTAGTCTGAGCAGACCTGCGCTCGGTAATTTCCAATCAAAATACCGACGTAAAATACGCTATTTTCTCTCAAAATCATTGCAATTTGGAATTTACGCCATTTTATTGACGTCATATCTAACTAATGATGTCATAGTTGATAAAAATACTTAATGCTTTGAAGTCTGCAAATATCCACCTGGTTTAGAACATAATTAAAGACTTCTCCATCAAAGTTTTATTTTGGGGGCAGATACTGGCCACTACAGAATATAGTCCTTTCTTCAATAATATTCTTTTCAAGAGCAACTAAGCCATTATTAGTCACTTTGATATAGATGTATCCTCAGGTAGTGAAGAATTAAGTTAATTCAAATCATGACCCCCGGGAATAGGGCGTGGCCACAACAGGGGTCAAAGTTATACATAGGATTGGAATATATATGAAATGTCTTTAATTTTTTTCTCTCGAGAACAGCAAATTCCTGATAAGTCATATTATTAAAGAAGCATCCTCAGGTTATGTAGATTCAATTTTGTTCCAAATATGACCCCCATGGAATCGACATTGGATAAAAATGGGGGAACAACAGAGAGTCAAAGTTTTACATAAGAATATATAGGAATCATCTTTAAAATTCTTCTGCTCAAGAACAGCAAAACCATAATATGGGGGCATCCTGAGGTAGTGTCAATTCAAGTTTGTCTCCCCCCCCCCCCCCCGGAAACTTTTCAATACTGAACTGATTTCTGCTTTTTTCTAGCCAATCTGCTATGTGCGATGTGGCCTATGATGATCGGAATACCGAAATGGATCATACAATTTACAGTAAAGACAGACTGAAATCTCTTTTTAGTTACCTATGAATAAAAAAACCCAAAAAAAACCCAAACATTACTGATTATTCATTTCACGTCTGAGGGTTGAAGAATCATATTTCTATTTGATCGTCGCACTCAATGATAAATGTTTTTCTTTCGCTTTCGCAGTTTTAATTTTTCTAACCTGTAAAATGCAACTATAATACTGGTAAGCAAATAAATAGCTGTTTATTCATATTTCTTTATTGTCTCTTTGGTCCATACATTTCATTGTTGGAAGAGTCCATTTCTTAGGAAATCTTTCAAACAGATGGCTTTAAAAACCGGTTCTAACTAGTTTGTTGCTAATGAAGTGATAACGGCAATGAGTTCTCATAAGAAGTAAAGGAGAAGATATCCAGTGGATGTAAATATTATTCATTTATGATCCGGTTTCTTTGAAGACATTTTTAAGGAAAGTTTTTCTAAGCAGAGATATATGTTAGATATAGAGGATATTCAATGTTTTGTGGACGAATATGGAATTTATTTCACGAGTGGGACAGAATTTTTTGATATTTTCACGAGTGCGAAGCACGAGTGAAAATGTAAAAAAATCTTGTCTCTCGAGTGAAATAAATTCCATATTCATCTAGAAAACATTGAATTTTCTATTTATTACATTTTCTTTGATTTTTCCTTTGACTATCTTTTCGTAACACAGTGTCATATGCTGTGACGTCATAGTTGAGCGATTGAGACGTCATAGCTAAGCGATTGCGAGATTGAAAAACGTTGTAAACTTGGATTTTTAACAACATATTTGGAGAAACTTTGGTCTCTTATTCTCTGTCAGGATGGTTCATATACTCTCTATCTTATAACAGGCCAGGGAGTTTTTTTTAACACTCTTCGTGATGGGATGGAAAATCGAGAGTTTTGCCGCACATCTGATATTCTCACACTGTGAGAAAACAATTTTGTTAACCTTTCACACTGTGTTAGAATTTCACTTTTATTCAATTAATGAACTACAGTATTTCACTGTTGAAAATGTAATAAACCTTTTATTCTCCACTCGTCTTACTGTATATCTATTTTTAACTTATTATTTTTTAAGATACCCTGTGAAAGATATATATATATATATATATATATATATATATATATATATATATATATATATATATATATATATATATATATATATATATATATATATATATATAAAGCACTAAAAATGACGCCCTGTCTCCCTTCCCCAGGACAAAGAAAAAAGTTAAGAAGTCATAAAAACAAAGGAAATAGAAAACAAAAACGGCTAGCACCACAACTAAACTACCAAACACTATTTATTTACAATGTTACATGTTTAATTTGAAGTTTATAATCAGTTGTCAAGAAAGAAATCCGGACCGCTATGATATACGTCCGGTCCTAGGGTGTATTCTGGTGAAGTGCGATTTACATAATTGAACGAATTAATTATCGCTAATCAATTACGACCAAGAAGTAAATCGTATGCTGTCCTTTCTCTCAAAATAGCGTAACTTTACATGATAAAAAGAAACCAAAGAAAGATAATTTAGATGTATTATATATGTCATTTGGAAATGTTTTAGGACTGTTTATCGGATAAAAGAAATAATAAACAAAAATTTAAGCAATTTTTACATTTTTGTATATTATTTCTTTTTTTTCCGATAAACAGTCCTACAAACAAACAAACAAAAACAAAATTAATTTTGTTCAAATCATAACTCAAAATCAAATCAAAAATGTAAGCAATTTTTACATTTCTGACGTCCCGAAAATTTGACAATTTCTATGGTTCGTATCGGTGGTCATATTTAATGCTTTATATAAATTTCCATACTTGACCTTGTATCTATTTAGTAGATCCGACACTTAGGATATACAGTGTTGTTGGTTTTTGTAGTGCTTTATATATATATATATATATATATATATATATATATATATATATATATATATATATATATATATATAATCCATATCATTTAGGTCAAGAGAGAAGAAGCCAGTGCATCACAATAAACCTAGAGAAAATACAACAGAGAACTGAAACAGACACTCATTTTATTTGAAGTGCTGTTTATGATTAGATCCAGATTCCATACAGGAAACCCCTACAAGGCTCTATAACACTTTCTAGTATTTAAATGTACAATTATGATCTATTTGTAGATATATATGTATTCACAGAAATCTACTGAAAATATTCTTATAATGAAAAGAAATATAAATAATCATGGTATCATAAGACACATACTAATTACAAGTAATTGCACCCTTCATTTTACCTCGTGTGCATGAAATCAAATTCAAGAAAAATATGCGGGAAGTTTAATTACTATCTACAGAATTGTTAATCATTATTAAACATTGTGATGCATTTAAATTTTCATTTTAAGCATTGAGACACTTGATACCAAACGAAAGCTTTAGAAGCTTTAAGGGTTTTGTTGTACAGCATGATAATGTTGTTAATTTTATTTATAGGCTATCACAGTTTCATACATGTTACTGTCAGATGAAGAGACCCCCCCCCCAAAAAAAAAAAAAACAAAAAAAAACAAAACAAAACAAAAACAAAAAAACAAACAGTACAGTTGATTAAAATGAACAGCATTAATTAGATTTAATTACTCAAAAGATGTAATTTGAATTCTCCATGCAATTTATTTAATTAATCTTTGCAGGAAATAATGGTTATAACGATTTTCATAATGGTATAAAGAATTGAAACTTGTTTCAATATGATTTTCTATCACAGACTCCTGTCCATGGTTCTGTTTCTTACTGTCAATCTAATGCCTAATTTATAACCTTCAAAGTTAAGTTTTAAGTGTCTGTTATGAAACATTTTAAAAATTCCCACCATTCCCCTATTCATGTAAGCTTAAGAAAAATTCATTCTTTTTGTAGAATTTCATGCAGAAATATTTGTTAGAAAAATATCCGTATCCTTTATACTATGAATAAATTTGCGTTCTCGTCCTTGAACACCCTTACGAATGTTACTGTAGTTTAAATTCAAGAAACCTGATTTCTCTTGACCAGTTTAATGGTTGTACATGCAATTAAGAGCGGTTTGTGACAGTACATGTTGTCGTTTTGTACGTAATATCGTCGGCGACAATATGTACCTACCCTCACTGCACATACTGTCGTCCATCGGTACATATTGTCGCAGGCTGAAAAGTTACACATGTACATAGTGTCGCTGCCGACATTATACGCCTCACTCTCACTGTACGTATTGTCGCTCCACAGATATTGTTGCTTAAAGATTTCTTTTGTTGTATTTTGGAAGTTTTGTGAATGTAATTGGTGTGTGAATCACACTGATGTGTCTCGTGTGCTATTTCATGCAGTGTGTTGTGACGGTACATTTTGTCGTCCTGTTCATATTGTCGCGGGCGACAATGTGTACCTATCCTCACGGCGCATATTGTCGTCCTTCAGAACATATCGCATGACAATGCATGGCAATGCTCCATGTAAATATGATTAATAATTGCTTTGCTCTTTTTGAGAAGATAATTTTTAAAGAACTTTTCCATATACATGTATTCATGCGTGAAAAGAAGAAAACACTTGCTGTGGCCTTCAACTCGACATTTAGATATATTGACGACGTATTGTCAATTAACAATGGTTATTTCCATTCTTATGTCGATACGATATATCCCGGTGAGCTTGTGATAAAAGATACTACGGAGTCTGACATATCTGTTTTCTTATTTGGATATTTTACTTGAAAAAGACGTTAATGGTAATATAACAACCAAGCTTTATGATAAACGGGATGACTTTAACTTTTCAATCGTCAACTTCCCTTACTTATGCAGCAGTATACCTTCATCACCAGCATACGGGGTTTATACCTCTCAGTTGATTCGATACGCAAGTGCATGCTCTACGTATGTACAATTTCTAAAACGAGGTAAATTATTGACAAACAAGCTGATGAAACAAGAATATCAGCAGTCTCGTTTAAAGTCATCATTTCGTAAGTTCTTTGGTCGATACAATGACCTTGTCAGCAAATACAATTTATCATTGAGTCAAATGCTGACTGACGTTTTTCATACTAATTGTTAGGTCATTTTTTACACACTGAATTGTCGACGGATTTTTCCGTTATTTCCCGATCATGACAAGGAGCACACGACGGGTGTGACCGGTCGGCAGGGGATGCTCACTCCTCCATGGCACCTGATCCCATCTCTGATGTTTTGGAGGTCCGTGTGTGTTCTGCACCTATTTCGTAATGTTAAATGGACTTTTGAGCTTGAATACTGTTTGTTATCTCCATATATTTCATGTAAAACTTTAATCGCCCATGGTAGCCCCATGTACCCTAGGCCCGGGTTGATTTGAAGATACTTGAATCTGTGCTACCTCAAGATGCTGCCATTTAAACATCATTAATCACGGGCCTACTGCTGCTACTCAGTGGCGGATCCAGAAATTTCAGAACGGAGGGGGTGAGGATGCGGTTCAGAATTGTTTTTGACAAGCAAAAAAGAAGTCATTTGTATGTAAAGGTGTGTTACTGTATATGTTAAATAAATTATGAAATTTTAGCTATGGACTAAATTGAGAGTATAATACAAGTTTTTACCAAAGCAAAAAAAAAAAAAAAAAAAAAAAAAAAAAAAAAGAAATCAAATCAAATCGCCGGGCGGGTGTCGGGAAGGGGTGGGTTGGGGGGGGGGGGGGGGTTTGCGCCGGTGCTACATCTGTCTTTGGTTTTTGGAAGATTTTTAAAGATTTTCTGTACATATTCCTATGTATAACTTTGATTGCCCATTGTGGACTTACCCTACCCCTGGGGTTATGATTTGAACAAAATTGATTTTGTTTTTGTTTATTTGTAGGTATAATGACCCTTTCAAGAATTTTTCATTCATATGGAGACGTCACCACTTGCCGGTGGAGAGCTGCAAATTTAGACCTATACATGGTACACAGGGTCATTGAGGGATCTTTTTCGTGCCAGCACCTCAAAATTGAACGTACGCTATGTAATGAAGCTTTCACATTAGTATCTTTTGACAGAGTAGTTCTTGAAAAGAAGAGTTTGAAAGATGTTTTTTCAGATATTCTATGAAAAACTTTGATCACCTTTTGTAGACGAACCGTTCCTCCGATGAACATGATCTGAATTAAATTGAATCTACACTTCATAATGAAGCTTTCACATAACTTTCAACTTTTCTGACACAGTGGTTCTTGAGAAGATTTTTAAAAGATGTCACTAAATTTTCACTTATTCTTAACTTCTTCCCTGTCGCCCGCGTGGCGCAGTGGTTAGAGCGTCTGCTCTAGAGTCGCGAAGTAAGGAGTTGATCCTTACGTCGCGGGTTCGAATCCCACTGTGGGACGTGGAGACCGGTCTTTCGGATGAGACCGTATAAACCGAGGTCCCGTGTCGCAGTAAGGGCTGGCACGAAAAAGATCCCTCACTGCTCAATGGCCGTAAGTGCCGAGTATAGGACAAAATTTGCAGCTCTCCACCGGCAAGTGGTGGCGTCTCCATATGAGTGAAAAATTCTCGAGAGGGACGTTAAACAACATACAAACAAACAAACAAACTTCTTCCCTTGAAAGAGGGCATGGCCCTTCATTTGAACAAACTTGAACCCCCTTTATCCACGGATGCTTTGTGACAAGTTAAGTTGAAATTGGCCCAGTAGTTCTTGAGAAGTTGAAATTGTGAAACGTTCACAGACAGACGGACGGTCAGACAAAATGTGATCAGAAAAGCTCACTTGAACTTCCAGTTCAGGTGATCTAAAATGTCAACCCCAACACCAATTATATCGGCACATGATTGTATATTTAGGAATATCGCAAAAATATTTTCCAAATAATCATTACTACTGAACAAAAAAAAAAACCTAATACATGTATTCAATCTCCAAGTATATATTAAGAAAAAAAGAACAGGCTGACTTATCATATATCTGAAGAATTACGGTATCTTGACATACATGTATCATAGTGATGTACATCAATTCTGGACAAAATTTTTGGACCAAAAAGTTTTCTTCCTACAGTATTGCTAGTAAAGCTGTCTGCCTCCTCCGTGCACGTATGTGTTTGTCAATCTGTCTTTCCTTTCTCAAGTAAATATTCGTCAAAACAATATATCGACGACAATATATGCCGACCTTGACTGTACATATTGTCGCCGACGACAATATGTGCCGGTGCTTGATTGTACATTTTGTCGTCCATTATGCAAGAGGAGAATACGGCTCGTCTCGGTACATATTGTTGCCGGCGACAATATGTACATGTACCGATGGACGACAATTTGTGCAGTGAGGGGAGGTACATATTGTCGCCGACGACAATATGTACAAAACGACAATATGTACCGTCACACGTTTCAAATTCGACAGTGAATAGAACAACGATTGAATAACATGAAAAATATGTGTATTTTTTATCTAATGAATTAAAAATTACTTCTTTGTCAGGGAAAATTTTTTATACATTACAAATAAACGGAAATGTAATAAATAAAACTGAAAATCGCGCAGAAAAATCCAGCAGAGCGGTTCCCACGACTTCTTGGTTGATGTTTCAGGTTAGTAATGTGATGTTTATGTATGAGTGTATTGTGTTTATGTATGTGTCATGTTAATATAAGAGTGAATCATGTTTGAGTGTATCATGTTTATCTATGAGTGTATCGTGATTATGTATGAGTGTATCCTGCTTATGTATAAATAGAGTTTATCATGTTTAAGTAAACATAAAGTGTATCATGTTTTGTAATAGTGTATCATGTTTATGTATGAGTGTATCATGTTTATGTATAAGTGTATCATATTTATGTATGAGTGTATCATGTTAATGTATGAATGTATAATGTTTATATATGAATGTATCAAGTTTATCTATGAGTGTATCATGTTTATGTATTTATTTATGTGTTAGTGTATCATATTTATGTATGAATGTATCATGTTTACGTATACAATACAAAGAGTGTAAAATTTTTTTGTATGAATGTATCATGCTTATGTAATGGTGTATCATGTTTATGTATAATGTTTATGTATGAGTGTATCATGTTTATGTATAATGTTTATGTATGAGTGTATCATGTTTATGTATGGGTGTACTATGTTTACGTATGCAGTACATAGAGTGTGTTTTGTTTATGTAAGAGTGTATTAAGTTTATGTATGAGTATATCATGTTTGTGTATGAGTGTATCATCGATAAATGTCGAAAAAATGTGCCCAGGGTGCCACAAGTTCGCTTTCTCACATGGCAATGAAAATTTATACACATTGTTTTGTAGTAAGGTGCATATGAATTATATTTTTCCGCATTGCATCAATTTCTATTCGTTGCTTTGGAATTGATCAAGAAAAGACAAAAAAAATTAGTCCTGTCCAAGTTTTATTCAAAACACATTTGAAAGTAAGCTCGGAGAGAGTGCGTCATATTTTTATATTTTGGTTGATTAAAGAGTTAAATGTCTAGCCTCGTACTCAGGAGAGTAAAAGGCGTCTTAGAGAATGATCCATAATTGTATGTTTTCATACTTTATCAAATATATGTATATACATTTGGTATTTGAATTGAGTATGAGCAACAGTTTCTGAAACCCCCCGCCATAAGCTAGCTTGAAGTTGACTGTTCTAATACAAGTACATGTACATGGTACAAGTATATGTACACTTAAAGTAAGGTTTTAACCAATTATTTATGAAATTGCTTGTTTGAATTACAATATATATATATATATATATATATATATATATATATATATATATATATATATATATATATATATATATATATATATATATATATATATATATATATATATATATATATTACAATTTTATTGCCGCAAATATGTCATAAGCTCCAACAGAATAAATTTTATCATGTTTTTCAAAGTATGCCTGAAGTGTCCCCTCATTTTTTATCTGCGTCAAGTTTTGTTTCATATTTTGAATTTCTGCCTCCGTACAAAGAGACCAAAAAGAGTTTACATTTCTCCAGGACTCATGAAGAGGTCCCTCTAAATTGTCATAATTTGGAAGATATGAAGCCATTAATGTTTTATAAGTTGATTTCAAAGAGAAGCCGGACTCTTCAAGCATACGTTTTATTTGTTTATGAGTTGGAAGAATATTCCGCCATCTTTTTGTGGTTTCTGGTACTAGATTTGTGTACCAATTGCCTTCAAGATTTTCCGGTGTTTCAGCAATAATTGTTAAAACACCACCTGGTTTCAGGATGCGGTGAGTCTCATTCAGTGTTTGAACTACTGCTGGGAATGATTTGCCATTAGGATTCTTCTGTATATGATGCAAGACCTGGGAAAGAAATCAGATAAATATTTGGTTTTAACGAGACGATTCCGATCATCAGTAATGAATTTACCTGTAGTTTTATAATACGTTATGGGGATGTAATTCTACTGGTTTGATTTTTTTTTATTATATGAGGAAAAGCTTCATTAAGACTAAATAATTTTTTAGTCTAGCTTTCACAGAATTATACATCTTGATATTTTCGTAACTATTTTCGAGTTTTATCAAAATCGGACAAGAAATGGATGAGGAATAGCATTGTGAAAGGATTAGACATATTATTCTGTTTTTTGTTTGTTTGTTTATTGTTTAATGTCCCTCTCGAGAATTTTTCACTTATATGGAGACGCCATCACTTTCCGGTGGAGAGCTGCAAATTTTGACCTATATTCGACACTCAGGGCCATTGAGCAGGGAGGGAATCTTTTTCGGACCAGCACCTACAGCGACATGGGACCTCGGTTTATACGGTCTCATCCGAAAGACCGGTCTCCACGTCCCACAGTGGGATTCGAACCCACGACGCAAGGATCAACTCCTTACTCCGCGACTCTGGATTGATTGTATGTTGTTTTACTTCCCATTTGAGAATTTTTCACTCATATAGAGACGTCACCATATACCGATGAAGGGCTTTAAATTTTGACCTCTACTCGGCACTCAGGCCATTGAGCAGTGAGGGATCTCTATCATGCCAACGCCTGCCTTGACACGGGGCCTTGTTTTTTAAGCCGAGCACATGGCGAAGGAACAGTTGCTTCCTATGTTTTATCGACTTAGGTCAGTCGCGGCCGAGATTCGAACTCGCGACCTCTAGAGCGAACGCTCTAACCACTGTGCCACGCGGGCGACTATTATTCTGTTTTAGTACATATTTCTAAAAGGAAGCAAACTATTGACATATTGGTTGATGAAATATGAATATATATCAACAGTCTCGTGAAAAGCCATCATTTCTCAATGATGGTCGATACAATGACCTTGTCAGAAAAAAAAATCTATCATCAATACAAATGCTGACTGACGTTTTTCATACTAATTCTTAGGCCATTATATTCACATTAAATTGTCTTCGGGTTTCTCCGTTTCCCGATCATGAAGCACACGGCGGGTATGCCAGGTCGACAGGACGCCTACTCCTCCATGGCATCCGACGTCACCTCTGATGTTTTTAGAGGTCCGTGTTTTCTCTACTCCTGATTTTTATTTTTTCTATGGACTTTTGAGCTTGATTATTGTTGGTTCGTTTGTTTGTTATTTAACATCCTCTCGAGAAATTTTTCACTCATATGGAGAGGCCACCACTTATCGGTGGAGTGCTGCAAATTTAGACCTATACTCGGCACTCGGATCCATTCAGTGAGGGATGTTTTTCGTGTCGCACCTACTGCGAAACAGGATTTCAGTTTATACGGTCTCCTTCGAATGACCGGTCTCCATGTCCCGCAGTGGGATTCGAACCGGCGACCTTAGGATCAGCTCCTTACTCCGCCACTCTAGAGCAATGCCATCGAATCGTGTGTTGATTAAAATGAATTCTATCTTTTTTATGTTTTCAATGGCTTCTCGGTTTTTAAGGTCTCATCCGAAAAACCCGTTTTTCTTCAATTTTCAATATGCCGATAGAGCGCTAGAGAAGAAACATTTTCTCGGGGCCAGATCCGAGCTTGAACCCATAATCTTCCGACTAATGAGTGAGCGCTCTACGGACGGTTCCATTGGTCGTGGAGACATCCTTTTGTTAACATAACAACATTAAGCCATACTTCTTGATATTGCACCAGTGTGTGTCTGACCAAAATTGTGTAGGAGTTGCAAACTTAAAAAATTGTTTACTGACAATAAGATGAACGACAAACACAACAAATGCAAACAAGAATCTTTGTGTGTACCATTAGAAATAAAAAGTGATTAAAATTATAGCCATACATGATTTATCATCCCTGCATCAAACGAATTGTCTTCGTATGGAATAACTGGTAGAACTGCTTGTTTGAAGGATAGCTGGGTCCTACACGATGCTGTTAACTTCGCTTTAGCCTTATTAAGCATTCCCTCACTGGCATCCATCAAGCAGAGACTCCTTGGTTCAAATTGGAAGAAATATTCAGAGTAGTTTCCGGTCCCACATCCAATGTCAATGATATCCAAATCCTGTTTTCAAATAAAGGTAGAGATAACAAAATCAAGGGGTTTGTGTATTCAAACCTTTGAAAGGCCAGATTTGGTCACAGCACCAAATGTAAACGGCGAGGGGAAAATGCAGCGGACCAGACCAGAAACTAAACCCAGCATCCCTGAATCACTATCAGATGATCTACCAACTGAGCTATTTAGCCAACGGCTATTGAACCAGCCTTACCGTCAGGTAAGGCCTATTCAAAGGTTTTCTAAAAAGGAAATAAGACTGTCGGCACATAATTTAGCTATAGAAAGTGGACGCCATGAAAAGTAAGCGAATGCCCTACCACTATAGGCTACCGTGACTGGTTGAAGGAGAATCGAATTCCAACACGAAGGGAGCGACATATCACTAGACTTACCCCGACCGGTAGGATTATAGTATTTGTAAGATAATGTGCATAAGTAGTAAGCATCTGTGTTTTGTTGTGTATATGGATGACGTGTAGCCTTGAAACATTCATTCGTACTATCACGTGCTTCCAGATCAGTTTTCGCCGTACAGAGCAAAGATAGACATTTTTAAAACACTGATAGAGATAATTACGTATCTGACTTAATCATTGTATATTTTTCTTTCTTACCAACACTTTTATTCAGACCTTGAATGTTTAGATAAACACCCATGAGTATGCATTTGTAAACATAAAAGATAGAGGTAGAATTCATTATTAAATTATACCTTGTCAGCAAATACAATTTATCATTGAGTCAAATGCTGACTGACGTTTTTCATACTAATTGTTAGGCCATTATTTACACACTGAATTGTCGACGGATTTTTCCGTTATTTCCCAATCATGACAAGGAGCACACGGCGGGTGTGACCGGTCGGCAGGGGATGCTCACTCCTCCATGGCACCTGATCCCACCTCTGATGTTTGGAGGTCCGTGTTTGCTCTGCTCCTATTTTGTATTGTATAATGGACTTTGAGCTTAAATACTGTTCGTTATCTCCATTTATCCCATGTTTACCCCTTTATCCCGTGGATATGACTCATTGGATAATTTTTTCATAATCAACAGTTGTGACGTCACAATGGCTTTTGCGTTAGCGCGATGAAGTAAAATAAAGTGGAGTCCTATATAAAACAGTGTAAAACATTGGTTGTGAAGTATTAAACATGGGATAAAAAGAATCTCCCATGATTTGTAGTTGGATATGACTTTTATCCAACTCGTTGTGTGTTTTTATCCCCTCGCCAAGGCTCGGGGATAAAAAACACAAAACTCGTTGGATAAAAATCATATCCAACTACAAATCATGGGAGATCCTATATATATTTCATTTAATAAAATCATGCCGGAGCGGCGGGCAATATTTTCATTTCAAGGGGGCTTTAACACAATCAATGTTGCCCGAAAACACAGTTAATAATTGTTTTGTTACATGAAACCAAAACCATTGAATAAAAAAAAATTACTTTCAACAAGTAATTACAAACAAATAATTTGTATCCAATACATCATCAGCATACAGTCTAACTGTAGTTCAAGCGAATCTTAATTGTCAACATTGTGTTACCTTGTATATTTTTTTATTTATTGTAACGTTATGTTTATTGGAAGTTGCGACGGTATCACAATTAATAGCGATTCTCTGTAACCACTTAAACTTCTTTGCCACGCATGGTCACCGATTTTGATGAAACTTTGCCCATTATTACAACTTAACACCAGAAACATAAATCAAATAAAATTCCGTTGCTATGTGTCTTGGTTGCCATGGTAACAGGCAGAAAAGTTGAAAAAATTGAGATTTTCAGCTACTTTGAATTTTTATTAAGCCTTAATAAAGACTAAGAAAAACAAACAAACTATTCTCACAAAAACATGACATCTTGTTGCAACTTATGCTGTAAAGAAACTATCTAGAATTTATCTCTAAGTAGGTGATAACCATGGGTACATTTGGAATACATTTAAGATGCTGAAAAATGCTGAAAAACGCTCAATATTCACTAATGATAGATGTTACATGATCAAACTCAACCAAAAGTTGAAGTAAAATGATAAAAATAATTGACCTTAAGTAATAAGGTATTGGCAATATTATTCTAAAAATAACTTTCATGGTTGCCATGGTAACACAGTGTAACGATGCAAAATTCGTTGCTAAGATTGGGTTAATGCTACTATCTTGAGGAAAAACAATAAAATTCATGACTGGCACATATACATCCTTAGGGCCTTGCAACACCGACAACATAAGAAAAATTGGGATTAATTGTTACTTTGCAGTGTAACCATGGAAACAACGTACCAGTTGTTTAAAGTGATATTTTCTTACTGCTTTAGGAATTTACTTACCTTTTAATCAAGGAACATATGATTTGACTCACCTTGAATAGTACCTATCTGGTAGAACTAAAGTTGAATATCGTATATTGATAAAGTTTGTTGAAAAATACAACACTGTTGCTATGGTTACCAAGAAGGGAAAATGTTCGATTTCGTTAATTTTATTTCAAAATTAAATCCTATGTGCCAGCTTTTTGCATCCAGTTAGAGGTTGGTTGGTAGTCAAAATTGAAAGTCAGGTTAGTTGTTCATATATATCAATCATAAAAGTTTTGGGAATCTACATACAAGGGTACGTATCCAAGGAAACAGAATATTTTTCAGATTTTTATGCATATTTTTTCGGCTAATTTCCATAGCAACGCTCTATTTAAAGAACCAAATTTGAATTTTTTGAAATGTGAAAATAAGGGTCACACCAACGCCTTTAAAAATTGATCATCAGTTATATAGAAATATGCTTTGTAAAAAGATAGGATAAGATTAAAATACTAAGAGAGTAAATTTAAAATCCCTTTGTGGTATTAAAACCATGGCAACCAACTTATAAGAAATATCATATTTCGTCCTTGGTATATGTTACAAGGATCTCCCTTCTATTATTTGCTTGCATTTCAACCTATAATTGTTTTTATTCTTAAGTGTATGACTTTATCAAATTAAATGAACAAAATTATTGCTTTTGAATACTTTGTTTCCATAGTAACGTATGTAATAGTTGATTTACCAAACATATTTATCATGCATTTAAGACATCAGGCCTTCAACTTTCGGAAACAGCCATTGCCACTTGTTTGCTTTGCTGCAAACGTTAACTGTGGGACTCTGAACATGTTGAAAAATGCCATTTTTCAAAATTTAGGACAAGTTGCTATGGTAACCATGACACGTAGCAACCAATTTTTGCCTGATTTGAGTTTACGGTATCAAAGACTTTTATCATAGAGAGTTTGGAGAAATTCTGAGACTGCGTGCCACAGTTCCTATATAAAAGTTAAAGTCATTACAGAGAATGGCTCTTAAGTGATCAAAACTCCTTTTTAAAAATGTAGGAGAACTATCTTTGTAGGTCAATTGTAAAATTTAAATGACCGTCAATATTTTTTTTTGGGGGGGGGGGGGGTGGGAGGGGGACTAATATTAATTTTGTTGTCTGTTTCTCTATATAAAGAATATAAAGACATAAATTAATACAGACAGACATTCCTTACTGAGTATAACAAATAATATTGATTGTTTGTTTGTTTGTTTGTATATTGTTTAACGTCCCTCTCGAGAATTTTTCACTCGTATGGAGACGCCACCACTTGCCGGTGGAGAGCTGCAAATTTTTACCTATACTCGGCACTCAGGGTCATTGAGCAGTGAGAGATCTTTTTCGTGCCAACACCTACTGCGACACGGGACCTCGGTTTATACGTTTCATTCGAAGGACCGGTCTCCACATCCCACAGTGGGATTCGAACCCGCGACGTAAGGATCAACTCCTTACTCTGCGACTCTAAAGCGAACGCGTTAACCACTGCGCCACGCGGGCGACTAATATTGATTGAAGAGATGGTCATGATAGTCGACAGACGTATTTCTAATCATTAGATCTTCTGGAATCTGATTAGAAACTTTGAAAAAAAGAAATTGCCAGAAATATGGTAATATGTGACTGAAGATGCAGCTTTTAATCTTGAACCCAAACTATGCCTCCCTAATTTCACAATCTGGTATTACTTTTTAATTTGATATTTTTACTTAAGAAATGTAATCTTGCCTCAGTATTCTTTCCAGTTAAGTTTTCCATCAGGCCTTTTAGAATGTGTGCATCTGGAGCTTTCCTAACAGAATCGTAAGATCTGGACACCTCGTTATAATCCGTAATGTTGCTCATTTTGTTTTGCTGGATATAATACCTATATAAAGAAAACTAGGTTATTCAAATAAGAAAGTGATTTGCACGAGAGAATAAACATTTCAAAGATGCAGGAAATACTTGAAATACTGTAATCGATAGATTTATTGATAGGACACCAAAGTTGTTTGAAGTACAGGATGGATCTAGATATTTATAAACGATAAATAAACGCTGAAAAAGATAAAGTCCAAGGGGGGGGGGGGGCTGTTTTACAAAATAACTTACGACTAAGACGAAAAACTTAAGTTCATTGTAAAATTTTAAAATAATAATTATTCTGTTTAAAATTGCTGGCATAAAAATATCTTTTTACATTCCTTTCTAAAAGATTAAAACAATTTTCAATTTAATGTAAATTGGAAAGTTATGCGCAGAATTAAATTTTGGTCTTAGTCGTGAGTTCTTTTGTAAAACGGGCCCCAGACTTTTTGACTTCATTGACAGCTGCTTTTTCAATACAAATGGAACTCGTAAATTTACTTACCTTGTCATTGGTAAATTGAAAAAAAAAAAAAAAAATTGACCCGATTCATGGCCGGGTCGTGTTGTCTGAATTGTTTCATACCAATTGTTAGGCCACTGTCTTAATACTTATATAAGTTAACTGCGGAATACCCCATTTACCTGATAATAGGGCTCTCGGCGGGTTTGACAGGTCAACAGGGGATGCTTACTCTTTCTATTCAACTGATCTTACCTCATGAAAAAGTATAATCGGTCTTTGAAAAAATGTCTTGAGCTTTTTTAACATTTCAATAAAAGACATTTGCCATTTAATGCTACGTTTAATCTGTCCAATGCACTTTGCAGAGTCATCACTTAATATGCTTTTCAAAACTTGAAATAAATGTCGCACGAATTGGACCCTGAAGAAAACAGCGTTGAACATACGGATTTTTTTCTCTTCGTTTTAAAGTTCGTTTTAAGATCTATTTTGAAGAACCCAAGTATTATAAGATATTCCGAGCAAAATTTATGCATTTTGACGTTAAAACTAGTCAAAATAATTTTTAAGATTAAGAAGGGTTTTTGAAGGCCTCTGCTAAGAAATTGAGAAGACTTGATATACAAAAAGTTTCATAGACACATTTATGTTTTAAATTTGAATTAACTTACTCTGCATTCTTTCTTCGTTATACACATCTATTATAGCAGTAAAATATTTCAAAATATTTCAAGATATACCTGCTGAATAATTAAAGTAGAGGGTTTAATTTTGCAAACAGTATTTGTCATATATTTTCATGGGTGTAAAAATTGCTAAGGATGTAATAACCTTTCTCAAACTAATAACGTGACCCTACTTCTTTCAGTTTGACCGTTAGAGAGTATCTCTTTAGTAATTTGAATTATTTTAGCATGAATGAATTTTAAAATATTTCAAGACTTCAAAAGTTAAAGACTTTTTTGCAAACTTAAGATATAAACTTAATACGTGTACGGTATTATAAAGTATACAATTTGCAAAGGATGCATTTACCTTTCTCAAACAAATAAGAAGAGCTTGATTCTCTCAGGGCATTGACCAAAGATCTGGATTTTCTTCTTAAAGAATTTGTAATGTAGAAATTCGATATGAAAAGATTTCATAACCGTGACATTATGTTGCAAAGGTATTTAACATTCTAATTAGGATAGCATTTTCTAACCTGTATGACTGTAACTTTATCTGAAGACTATGTAATGGTTAACCGAAGATTTAAAATGACAGCTTGGGGACACCACCTGTAATGTGAGAAATTCTGAAATCTCAAAAAAATCTCATAATGACTCAAATAATATTTAAAAAGAAAAAGGGGTTCTTCAATGTATCAGGTCTTCTGAAGTCCTTTTCACACAAATGAACTATTCAAAAACTCCCCTATCGTCCGGTCATACGTTATTGGTCTCCAATTCATTATAAAGATGTTTATCGATTAAGATAAGAATGTAATGTTAAGATAATGAACAGTAATCAAAAGTCAGTTTAAACAGTACATATTAAAATCAGAGCTCACGAGAATTTCTGAAACAGAAGTAGGATCAGGTGCCATGGAAGAGTAAGCATCCCCTATCAACCAGTCATACCCACCGTGTTTTCCTTGCCATGATGGGGAAAACGGATATATCCGTAGACAATTCAGTTCAAAATAAGAAGTCAGTCAACATTTGACTTAAAACATACTGTATTTATAAACAAGATCATTGTAACAATCATGGAATTTTGTGAAATGTTAACTTTTATGAGAAAGGGGTAGATAACTGATCGATCTAAAAAAAATCTACAAACAATACAAATCGGTGAACAGGACATAAGCACAGACTCTGGAAATTCTAGAGGTTTGACCAGGTGCCCTAGAGGAGTAAGCATCCCCAGTTGACCGGTCACACCCGCCATGACCCTTATGTATTGATCAGGTAGATGGAACATTCCGTACTCGAAGAACTATATAAAGTAAAGGCATATCTCTACATGTACCCCATAAACGACAAACTTGGAAAATAGCTGAAAAGTGTACAATCGTGTAGATTTATAAAACAAATTTGAATTTATAAAAGCTTTATTAGGTTTGGGAAAAATGTTATGCAGTGTCTCTGTGACATCACAAACAATTCAGATTATCCGTAATTTTTTAAAAAGAAAGAAAAATGCACGAATTTTGTTCAACTTTGACTTTAGTTTTTAAATAATGTAAACTAACTCAGGATTTATAATCATATATTTCATAAGGACTTCTGAAATTATAAATCTACATATTATATTGAAAGATAGAGTTTGAGCAGACCTAGGCCTGTACTCATATTTTCCACTTAAATTGACGATAAAGTACACTATTTTTTTCGAAATCATTGAAATGTTGAATATATGTAATTTATTGATCATATCTAACCTATGACCTCTCGATGGTGAAAAAGTTAAATGCATTCTTAGCCAAATTATTCGAGTATAACCTGGTTTGGGTCAGTTTGCGCGTTATAATCCGCAAAGCGGATACGATACATATTTTAAATCTATGCAGACCCTGTAGCAAATATGAATGATAGAAAAATCCACTTATGATAAGAAGTTGCACCAGTGAATCGACTCTTGAATTTATTTTCAGTTTTGTACCGTTTTTAATGAAATATTTTTGAGTAGAGAGAGTTTTAACCAATTTCGATCAAGACAAAGGGGCAATGACGGTTATCACCGTCTGACAGGAGATGCTTCAGGTTTTTCATCGTCTACACTCTTATTTATATAGTAATATTCCGTTATCACCTAGATATGGTGTTTAAGTCTCCCAGCTGATTCAATACTCAGGAGCATGCTCTGAGTACAATCAATTTTAAAAACGAAACAGTTACTGACAAATAAGTTGATTTTACAGAGATTTCAACAACCTCCTTTTAAGTGAGGATTTTGTAAATTTTATGATTGTTATAAAAACTTTGATAGAAAATAAAACCTATAATTGGGTCGTATTTTGACTGACATTTTCCATACTAATTGTACCGCACATAGTGACAAACATAGTGATAGGGCGTCCACCTCGTGAAAGGAAGGCCTGGGTTCAAATCTAGTTCGCCGCGCCATGTCAACTCTAAGACGTAAATATAGGTAGTGACTATTCCTCCTTTATCAAGCGCCCGGCATTAGAAGTGAAAGTCAAAGGTCTTTCGAACAAACTTAAAATTTGAGGCCCCGTGTCACGCTTGGCATTGGCACGATAAAGAATCTTCACTGCCCCAGAGTGCCGAGTCTTTATTTGAAGCTCTTCAACGACATACGGTGAGGTCTCTATATCAGTGAAAAATTCTCGAATGGGACGTAAAACAACATATAATCAATCTATCAGTCAATTCAATTATACCAATTGTGAGGCCTTTGTCTTTATAATAAAGTTGACTTAGGGTTTCACGGCAGATGTTACCGGTCGACAATTAAATGATCCTTATTTCTCCTAGACACCTGATTCCACCTTAGAATATTCGGGGAACCGTGATTATGCCCTGTTTGCAAATGTATGTTGTTTGTTATTTTTAAAGAGGTCGATCACTGTTCGTTATCTTCACTTTTTATAAAATAAAGCTTATACTCATGGTTCATTTTCTACGAATGAGATCGGGACGCCAGGGTTCGATTCTCGTTCGCCACGCCGCGTCAAACCTAAGACGTAAACAAAGATATTGACAGTTCCTTCGCCAAGAGCCCGACACTAGAAGCGAAAGTCCCGGGTCTTTCGGATGAGAACTAAAAAAAACGAGGTCCCTTGTCACGGTAGGTGTTGGCACGATAAAGAATCCTCACTGCTCAATGGCCCTGAGGCCGAGTATAGGTCTAAATTTGAAGCCCTTCACAGTATATTTTGACGTCTCTATATGAGTAAGAAAATCATGAATGGGACGTAAAACAACATACAATAAATCATTCTACGAATGAAATTATTCAAAATCGCATTTCAGTCTATAAAACTTTTAATATTCCAGTCAACGAAATTTAATTTGATCTTCCCTTCCTATGCTTGATCCCTTAATGTCATAAAAATCCTTAAAAACAAAGAAACATTACCGGGTCAAGCATCTGCTCTGCCAAGACCCTATCTTAACTCCTCACACAAATATTAGCTCCTGTAAAGGAGAAATATACTGTTCTATAGCATATTTGAGAAGTGGTGTGATTAAAATGTGGATTCTTTAAAAGTCCAAAGATATTTAAGAAAGGTAAAAATAAAACTTTATGCAATCTTTCCTCACAAAACATTAAAAACTTTTGATTTCATAGACAACAAATAAGCACGGTATTCAATTTTTCGGCACGTTCAGATGTTTTTATACGACCGACGACATCCAAAAATAGTAATTCAATGCTTAATTAAGAAACATTTCTTATTATATCATAATATTCTTATAATATTCATTAAAATAAGGGAGTACTAACTGTTGCAGCCACAGCATTTTAGAAGAGAAATTCAGAATCCTGAAGCATACGTAACATTTATAAGTGAATAGTGGCA